TATCAAAACAAAAGCCTAGCAAGTTCCGGTACATGCCGAAGACTTTTCTGCAAGGCAGTCCGGTAAATTGGGTAGTGAGAATATGAAGAAAAAAAATGAATATATGAAGAAAAATAAATTGAAAATAATTATAGAATTATATATTTTATTTTAATATTGAGAATTGGGGGGAATATAACCTTATTATGTATAGTATAGTTTATATTATCAATGTCACCATGTTATATATATTATATATATTTAGAAATAACATCCTTAAAATGTTTAACGTAAAAAAATAAATATATATATGTGTGTGTGTGTGTGTATGTATGTGTGTGTATATATATATATATATATATATACATATATATATATATATATATCCAAATAGGTAGCTGCACTCACGGTTAATAAAAGTCCAAATTTTATTGCAAAAAGGTTAAAAAAACAGCAATCAATGTTTCAGTCCAGTAAGGACTTTCTTCAGGATCAAAAATAAAAAACATTTGACAAACATGCAAGACATTTATACATAACATTATTAAGAGAATTGGCTTACCCCAGGTGAAAACCGCCATCTGACCGGCGTCCTGGCATGCTCTGTGCGCATGTGCAAACTAACTCCACCCCCTTGGTGACGTCATGACGTGATGACGGTCCGTTCGTAACCATAGCGATGCTGATAAACAAAGCATTGCTGTGGCTGATAAAACAGAACTGACAAAATTATATGTAACTCTGGTGTACTCTAAACAAAAGGATGAAGTATATAAATAAATGCATATTGAGGGGATGGACTTAAGTATACACAAGTGGACATATACAATATAATGTACTACGTGGCAATACCGTCTAAATTAAAGTGACAGTGCTATCCAAATAGAAGAATGTGTATGGAAGTAATTCATGTATGTTGTTCCATATGTATATAGTACAAAGTGACAAGTGCACTTGTCACTTTGTACTATCTCTGCATCAGTCTATACCTATCCCTATAGCACATACGGTTACCATACCCCTATTACCTACTCTAGACAATGACGCACGGTAAAGTTCGGGATACTTATTGCACCACTTTACAGATACAACCACTCCAAACATTATCAGAACTTCATGGCTCCATTCTTACAGCATTTTAAATCATGCTTCATGTTCACTTACTGTGAACTAGGCTCGGCCTAATACAAACCTTTCATCAGGACACTCCTTCCGCTTAGGGGCAGCATTCTCGACTGCCTCCAACCACATTCCAGCTCATGTCATCGGGGCTATGGGACACTGGAAGTTCTCCACCTATACTACTTACATTCAGTACCCAGTTAAAAAAGGTAATACAAGCTTTTCGTGATTTATCCGAATAAACAATGGTTGTTATATGATTAATTTTGTATGGTATTCTTCTTTTTGCCCACTTTTATTACAGGCCTACTGCTCTGTCGGTTCCGGCACACCACAACCGACTGGTGTAATTTGAATATGTCTATTGGTTATAATATGCTATGTTACACTATTATCACGGCTAGATTGCCCCGACTACAAATGTAAGGCCTTGGCCTGTAGTTGTGGGAGGGGCTTGAATTCCCTTAAAAGGGCGGCCAATCCTCTCCCACCTTAACGTGGACAGTCTGGCGTATCACCCCTCCCACCGCTACCTCTATTCATATCACCCTCTAAGGTGGGCCCACTTTTATTACAGGCCTACTGCTCTGTCTGTTCCGGCACACCACAACCGACTGGTGTAATTTGAATATGTCTATTGGTTATAATATGCTTTGTTACACTATTATCACGGCTAGATTGCCCCGACAACAAATGTAAGGCCTTGGCCTGTCGTTGTGGGAGGGGCTTGGATTCCCTTAAAAGGGTGGCCAATCCTCTCCCACCTTACCGTGGACAGTCTGGCGTATCACCCCTCCCACCGCTACCTCTATTCATATCACCCTATTATCACGGGTAGATTGCCCCGACTACAAATATATATATATATATATATATATATATATATATATATATAATAAATCTAGTATACTGGTTCCTACACCCCAGTAAGGCAGCTTGTCTGTTTTGTCTATAAAGTGACTTGATAGCTAGGGCATTTGTGATACTCCCATTTTAAAAGCTTTAGTGTTGGATGACAGTATATAGCACTACCTGTTATGCTCAACCACCAATCTCACCTATATTCCAACTATAAGGAGAGGGGAGGGGGAGGGAGTCAAAGTGAATTGGTGCCACAATGGTAAATTGACACCAGCCCCACAATACAGAAGAACTATATTAATCACCCTTCCAAAGAAAGAGTTTAAAATGTTTACATTCTTAGAATATGTTGATGACCAATGTCATTATGTTAGAACTTGACTATATAAAGTTTCAGGTATATTAATCAATTTCATGTGCATACTTATTATTCTATGAACAGGGTGGTCATTTGTAGTAAATGAGGTTTGAACTTTTATTTCGGTTTGGTTTAACCTATAAGGTTAGATTGTTTTTGTTTTTTTACTGTGTTTTGATTTCTAATATTTGGCAATGACATAGACCTAAATTCAATTAATGCTGTTGCTTAACTCAATTTTATTTAAAGGGACAAATAAAAGTAAGAACATTTTTAAAAAGTAGGAAATAAAGCACGCCTCTCAGCTAGAAGAGTTTTTTTTAGCTTTTACCACCCCCTTTCTCCAAAATACCCGCCCATCTCCGTTTGAAAAGAGTCCACAAATGACATAAACATGGCATAATTGTGCAACAGCAGGAGAGAGAAACCCAACACTGGAGCCTGCTCTACATGAATCACACTGATCAGACTTTGAATGTAATAGGAATCAGGAGAAATATGTAAAATTACTTTCCTGTAAAGGAGATGTCCGTCAAAAGTCTGTGAAACTATGTATTGTTTGAAAGGGAAAAAAAAAATCTAAGGGACCAATTTTTCCTAGAGGTCAAGTTCTTGGACATGGTTGCATACTTTTAAAATTATATCATATTATGAAAATTGTTTTCTTTATCTTTATATATTTTATTTTAAACTTTTAAAATATTGTTTTCTAAATTTTATCAAATTAATATTAAATCATGTGGCTTTTTCAGCACAACAATTTCTGATATGGTTTTTAAGAAGACACCAAGCATCCTCTTTATGGATTATGTGGTTTTCATACATGCAGAATAAGCAATACTTGCTATGGGTGAACATTAAGAACTAGTAAATAATTAGGTACGGGACAGGAGATGATGATTGAGATGTCAGTGGCTTAGGGGGAAGTAGAAGGGAGCAATAAAGGTGAATAGTAGGCAGTTGTGGGGCTAACTGAAATGGAGGGGAGCATTAAGGACAGTCTTTAGGCAGTGATCGTTATTGTGACCTCCGTTGTTGCCATGAGATTGTGGGCTTAGGCATTGTGTTGTGTTTTATCCAATGACTATAAATGTTGTTCTGTAATGCCCATGTATCGTATTCATTAGCAGCTCATCTTTGCAAAACTGGTCATTGGTAGGACTCCACACCATCTACTGATTTTGTTCTATTTGCTTTTTTTTAAATTTAAGTTCATTTTCAAAATACAATGTTGCTAAGTTTAATATTTGAAATTAAATGACTTTGGTTTTATTACAATGAATACATAATGTCAAATGTGCATATTTAAAATGACGCCTTAGAATTGCATGCTTACAGGCACATGACCTGTAAATCCAGCCCTAGTATGGTTTCACCCCTTTATGTACCTGTAATAGTCACTGTATAGTGTGGTGTCCGTCACAAGGGCTCTTAGGATACTGGTCCCACTAGAATTGACAAGACAAAGCTATTTCCTGAAGCATCATAGAAATAGTGCAATAGAGGTCCTGAAAGTAAATGATCACGTTGACAGTCACTACTGCAATCTTTCTGCTTATCATCCTCAGCCAGATTGAGGGAACATGAAGTAACAATTCTACATCCTATGATCACAGTGATCGTGGAGTTTATTTGCTATCACTGGGCAACATATTTATGAGAGACATTTGAGAATGACATTCATTTGAACCTGTAGGTTTCCTATAAAATCAGCAAAGGTATATATTTGGAGTACTGTTGTACTTAGGAGATGCAATAGAATACAACTCTACAGCATTTCAAAAAGTAGGCCAGACAAGGTCTGCAAAATTCACAATAAAAGTTCAATATGTATGTGAAAACGAGTAATAATAAAATAAACCGCTAAATTCAGCACATATTGGTAATGAAATGGCAAAGTAAAAATACTCCACAATCCCAAGTTTTTTTTTATTTGACAAATTTTGATGCGTATAAGACACATTGGTGGCTACTACTACTTTCTTTTGTCCCTATAGGGACAAAAGCCCAGTAATTCAGTCAATTAAATTCCAAATGTATAAAGTGAAATTAAAATGTCAGTAATTTGAACCTATAATTTTTCAAAAATTTGGCAAAAGTCTACATCTGGTATTGCTGTACTCCGGGGCAGAAGCAGAATGCAAAGAAGTGAGACTCACATTGTCTGTGAGAGAGGTTGTTGATAAAACGGTTAAATGAGGAGTGCCAAAATGCTCTTGGTTACATTTCCAGGGGTTGGTCTGCTTTATACAAATATATTATTGCATATAGCTGGGGAGGGCTGGGCCTAGCTGCCGAACTGACTGGTCGCATGCACAGAGAGCTCCATGAAAGAAACCCCATATAAGGCTATAATCTCAAATTTCTCTTAACAACCTTGATGATCCATAATCAGGAGATGACCAGCACCCAGTCCGGTTGTACCCCAACACTTCTTGGCCTCACTAACACTGTTGCGGCCTACCTGTTGGAGCGGGTGTGGGAGACGCGGCCGATCTCCCTGATGGCTTATATGCTGAACCAAGTGAGCATCGGAAAGGCTCCCGATCCCCCCCACCTCCTCCTGCCAGTGGGGGTTATCCTGGCCCCAGCATCTAGGCTCTACTTACCTGTTACTGGGGAGCCTGTGACCAAGCTCACAAACCTGCTGACATAATCTGGTCCCTTCACTGTAGCCAAGATGGCGGAGGCCATTATTCCTACCCCACCACGAGGCCTGATGGATACTACGTTAGCCAGACTGGATGCCATCTTTCTGGCCTTCTGGAGCAAACTTGAGGAGAGGCAACGAGAAGTAAGCCTGCCGCATCACTCACCCCCTGAACCTCTATGGACATTCCACAGGCTTCACAGCCAAGACTCGCTCCTGGTGACAATTGCCTGTTTCCCGGACTACCTATGCATTACTTCACATTATGCAATTTAACATCTACCAAGACCACTCAATGCACACCTAGGATCGCTTCACCTTACTAGTATGATAACGCTATTATTTTGTATCACCTTTAGCTTAGCACAAACAAAGTTGAGCTGTGACATGCCTACCTACCTCACTCACTATTAAGGCTAAGAATACACCTTCTTCGATGATGCTACATTTAATTTAAGTTAATCTACTTTTATTTTCCTGCCTTAATGATAGCCCAAAATTCTATAGTCTGCCTGGTGGTAACTTACTCTAATAACCATCTTGGTTACGCATGTGACCCTATAATCTCACAACACTCTCCGTATGTAAATCTCTAGCTGTAACTCGTAAGCAATCACTTGTAACTGACGCATTGATATAACTCTAGATAAAACTACATCATATAATAATATAAAATGTGCAATGTTTATGCCGAACAATTGTTTTCACATGTTCACTGATACGCTGGCAATAGCTATTGTGGCATTGCTTGCCTCGTTGTATTTTTCTTCTTGCACAATAAAATAAAGAATTTAAATATTTCATATAGCTGTCTTAGATTCTGTGACTCAGCAAACCAAATTTTTACATTTAAAATTGTAATTAACGCCTAGAAATATGTGTTCTAAAAATAATTATTACAATGTCCCAAATGGCCAGGATTTTAATCAGGACTAATAAATCTGTTTTAAGATGTATTTATTTATTTATTTTTGCAGTAGCTGTGTAGAAATTATTATAAACAAAGATATGTGGAAAATGCAGGGAGGGGGTTCATATTTTTTATATTCATATGTAATGTTGTGCCATGCATACCTATAGGGCATCAAAAGACAGACCTATCCTTCCTTGAAAAAAAATGTTTGAGTGCACTTAATTGGGGGAAGGATAGTAAATGGAACGCATAGCAAAAAGTGCAAGGAGGGCTCAGTCATGGTACATGGACTTTTAAAAATGTCTCCTATTCAACATGGCAGGCTAAAGGATTAAACAGACATTGCAGTATATATTTAGAAATTGTAAAGGCTTTATTAAAATAATGCATACACAGGAACACATAGACACAAGCATACACCCCTCAAAACAGGCACATACAGGTTTAGGTGCACACAGGCAGGCATACATAGTCGCAGACACAGACTGGCACATACACACGCCTGCACACTGTAAAAAATTTTTTTAAATGTTTGTTTTAATATTCCTTGGAGGGCGGGCAGCAGCCAGTTAACTTAGTAGAGCCAACCAGCACTTCCAGGATCCAAATCTGTGTGGTATTGTCTCCATACTGTTCTCTCTCCCAGTTTTTTGAGTCTCTGCCGAGAATGGAAATAGTACAGTGATAGACCCGGGTTACAGTATCATGTTCAATTCTTCGCTATCTGAATTTCCCTAATTTGCTGCAATAGCCCCTGGCTGAGATTAACATGGAGACCTGGAGTAAGAGCAGCATAGATGAAAAAAAAACACCTATTCAGATCCTTTGCTACGGGGCCCTTCATTTGGGTCTCTATCCCACCCAACTCCCCCAGTGACGCACATGGCAGAAACCATTTACAAATCATTTTGAGAAATCCATAAGTAGGAATTCTAGGAAAACACTGCAAAACTGAACAACCACATGCAGTTTCCCAGTGACTGTGGAAGGATTTTGATCTACCTCCAAACAATGCAAACCAGCTGTCGTTCTGTATAATTTTGTGTATCTATTTATTTTTCAGCTTCATGACTTGTTCAGAGCAAGATTGGTGCTTTGGCCAATCTGCTAATGCAAATAATACGTTACAGATCAGCCTATTAGTTTGAGTCATGGAATCAGATTATAGATGGCTTCTAAAATCCAAATTCATATCGATACAAATCACATGGGGAAAAAAAGCCAACATTTTAAATGTTATCTCGAAGTTAGATTCACCTATAGTGCATTTGTTGCCATTAAAAACATCTTAATAGTTAATGGGCAGATCAGTGTCTCAAACTTTCAAAATAAACAAGCTTTTAAGCATTGTCAATACATTTATAGTCCGGTGTAAGAGAACACTGTTTGCTTTCCTAAACCATTAGTCATTTCGGCCTCCCGTGCCTCCAGACTAATTTACGTGTTGTCTTCTTTTGCAGTATCTTCTTCAGGAAGAGTCAGTGTGGAAAATTCTGGTTTGCCGATGGAAGAGCCTGTTACTATTTGTTCTATTGACAGCTGCAATAATCTTAGTGCCTTTTTTTGTTTATCAAATGAAAACCTTGTCGCATCCACCTCCTGATGTACTATTTATAGCTGCTGCAATATGCTCGGGTACCATTGCAGAGACCCTCCTTATTAAGTAAGTACAGCTAACCACAATAACACCAATTATACCTTGTTATTATGGAGCAGGTGTTTAAATGTATTCTCGAACGTAAGTGTGAATTAATTTAATATGACCGTTTAGTATATTAAACGACAGGACATTTGAAAACAAGGAAAATATAATTCTATATTTCCTGTTGAATTATTACATAAAGAATGTAATAAAATATGATCTTCTGATAGCAAATTATTCAAAACAGTAAGGTGAATCCCTTTAGAACTGACTTATTTTCTGCTACAGACTGGGATAAGATTAGATTTGAAGAAAAAGACAATATTTCACTATTTAAAAAAGCAGTAAAGTTATAAGGTGCAATGGCGCTAAAACAAAGTGCAGCAACGGGGTGTCAGGATTACTGTTTGATCCAGCACGTAGAACTGTATAGCATGGATGCCCCAATAGAGATCGTAATAGGGACAGTTTTGTGGGTTATAAGCGGTTGTGTGAGTGGTCTACCATCAATAGCCTGACTGGTATCTCATTACCCCTAATAAACTGGACATCAATAAAATTTCCAGCAGCACCTGAGTCCATTAGGGAAATCAAGGGAAATAGATACCTCAAGGAGGAATCTACTTTTGGTTTTGTTAGAGGACAACTCCATCACACCTAAGATCTGTCCCCTTAAGGTTCTTAGGTGCGGAAGTTTTCCGGATGCACTGGGCAATTAGTTATCATATGTCCCTTTCTACCGCAATATAGGCATAACCCCTCCCTTCTCCTATACTGTTTATCAGCCTCCGACAGTCTAGTGACCCCCAACTGCATAGGTTCGGGTTCGGACTGTACAGGGAGGTTAGACAAAACAGGTTTAGAGAATTGAGGTGCTAGGGACATAGCCGTACGTCTGGTCTTGCTTCTGGTGACTTCTGAGTCTTAACCTATTATCAATATGCATGACAAACGTAATAAATTTGTTAAGACTCTTAGGTAATTCTTTACCGGCTATCTCATCTAGTATAGTCTCTGAGAGACCCTTTTTGAATGCTGAGATTAACCCATTGTTAGTCAAGTCTACCTCGGAAGCTAAGGTACGGAATTCAATAGCATAATCCAACATAGACCGGTTAGCTTGTCTGATGTGCATTAGGGCAGTGGAGGCATCATCCTCTCTACCCAATGGCTCAAACGTGAGCTTGAATTCGGCAAGGAATTCCTGGTAATTATGAGCTATGTTTAGATTACTCTCCACAACGGATTAGCCCAGGCAAGGGCCTTGCCCTTTAATTGATTAATTAGATAACCAATTTTTGCTCAAAATGGTACTCCACCTGATTAAGAAAACCCCTGCATTCCTGGATATTGCCATCAAACTGTAGGGATGCCGATAAGGAGATGCTAGGAGTCCTATTAACAGTGGGTGGAGGTACACAGGGTAGAGGTGCTATAGGAGTAGACGCTGCAGGCTGCAGATGCGCCGTTCTAGCGAGAAGCCTACTAAAAGCCTGAGTGAATTGATCCATGCGGTGATCATTCTCCTCTAATTTCCTCTCACAAGCAGCTATGTGCTGACACAGTTCTACAGGATCTTAATGTCAGGATTACTGTTTGATCCAGCACGTAGAACTGTATAGCATGGATGACAAATAAGTAACGTATTACCGGTCCTTAGAATGGCCGGATTTAACGTACATAGAATAGTCAAAAATACTAGCCGAGGTCAGGGAACACAGAAATGGACGCAGCAATGAGGAAAGCCAGGAGTCAGGATACCAGAATATAGAGAAGTCAATAAACAAAGCCAAAGTAGAAACCAGGTAGAAAACTAATAACAGGAACGCGCTCTCAGACAACCACAAGGGAAACCACGACAGGGCACTGAGCAGGATGAGAACTGAGCCTAAATACCCCTCCTCTAGGTCTGATAGGCTGTAACCATCCTTTGACCCCAAAGTCAGTTACCAGGTTTCATTTGCATAATTGCTGCTCAGCATTAACCCTTCTGTGGATTAGTTTGCTGCTCAGCACAACTTTTCCTGTGTGGACAGTAAATGTCATTAACCACATTTCTATAAGCAGATGAATACGTGGCACGGGGTCACCTTAGTGTGTTGTCACTCCCACACTAAATACATACGGAAATGGAAAAAGCAGGCCAAGGTGACAGGCGCACAAATTAGGTAAACCTCTTTTAGGCAGGTTACAAGATAGAGACCTAAACAGCACAAAATATAAACAACATCATAGTGTAATATGTTTGAAGATATTTTAGCAAGTGGTGAAAATTGGCACACTCACAGATGTTTGAGCCTCTCAAAAGCTGGCTCAGACTGTATGGTAGTTTCTCCCAATACTGGTTTGTTGATCCAAACACCAGGTGCCACCAGATACAGCAACTCCAAACAGGTTAGTGCTCTGGAACCAGGGTTGATGATAAACAGGTTTTTATTTAAAAATAACTAATAGGAAATATAACATCAACCCGAGTAAGACATAGCCAAAGGTCCAAATGCATTGTGCTGCACATTTGAAAGACTTGAATGTTGATTTTATATTTCCTATTTATTTATATTCCTATTTATATGATGTTGTTTGTATTTTGTAAAGTTTAGGTCTCTATCTTGTAACCTGCCAAAAAGAGGTTTACCCTATTTGTGCACCTGTCACCTTGACCTGTTCCTAATATTTCACTGTTGTTTAGGGAGAATAGACCTTAAATCTGTTTTACCTTTATGATTTCAAAAATATCTTTATTACCCCTCCCCCTCAATTTCAGGTTTATCAATGAGCTAAAACTGGTTTTATCTTGCTGTACAATTAGTAGATCTAGCCTCCTTCCATAGACCCATTTAATGTTTTTTTGTTTGTTGACCTTGAGTTAAAAAAAAACAAAGTACTTATAGCTAAGGTGACATGGGCAGAGGAGAGGAAGAAAATTAAAACTTTTCTAACTTGAACTTACTGCATGTACCCCCTGTGACCATTATCACGCTCTAGATTTGGTGATTCATATCAGATTTTGTTATATATAATATATATAATTCTGTGCCCTTTTGGTTCATCTGATTCCTTTCCTGAATCCGTTTATTGCCATCAAAGTTCTGCAGAGCCAAACCGACATGGCTGGAATTAAGCCATTTGGAAAAATATTTTATTTTTAGGTAAAAAAGGTTCAGATTAACTCCATAACGTCACCATGCATAGGTCTATCACATACTCTAGTGTATCGAACAGAATTGCCTAACATTCTAACTTTATAAGCCTTCCCCCGCCCTACAGAGCTCAGTCTGCGTGGAGCCCTCCATGGGTGAAGATGGATTATTTTTTTTGCGCTCTAGTTTTTTGTTTTTTTTCTTCAAAGTGCATTGGTTATTATGGATTTTTATTTGGCCTTTTTGGGGGCTGAAAAAAGAAGATTTTAGAAGAAAGAAGACCTATTTATTGGTCCCCCCTCACTATTTTTAGGTTGAGGGGGGTAGGTAGGGGATAATTTTTTTTAGGAGGGGGTGACTAGGGGTTTGGGGACCCCTAGTCACCTGGGGGGGGTTAATTTTTATTTAGGTCCCCCACCCGCCGCTCAGGGGTGGGGACCAGGGAGGAAGACAATAGGCCCCCCTTATTGGTATTTATTATTATTATTATTGCCATTTATATAGCGCCAACAGATTCCGTAGCACTTTACAATATTTTGAGAGGGGGGATATAACAATAAATAGGATTATTACAAGAAATCTTACAGGAACAATAGGTTGAAGAGGACCCTGCTCAAACGAGCTTACAGACTATAGGAGGTGGGGTATTAGAAACATTAGGACAGGAAATATCAAGTAGGAATGAAGCAGAGCTGGAGGAGAGAGCAAAGCACTGTCCCATAGGAGAGAGCAGGAGACAGGTATGTAAGGTAGAGATTACTCTGGGAGGCCATACGCTTTCCTGAAGAGATGGGTTTTAAGGCCCTTCTTAAATGATTGAAGACTAGGGGAGAGTCTGATGGCAATAGGCAAGCTATTCCATAGGAGAGGAGCTGCCCGCGAGAGGTCCTGCAAGCGCGAGTTGGCCGTACGGGTGCAAGCAGCGGTCAGGAGGTGGTCACGGGCAGAGCGGAGGGTACGAGGAGGGGCATATCTATGGATTAGTGAAGAGATATAAGAGGGGCTAGAATTGTTCAGTGCTTTAAATGTATGGGTTAGCACTTTGAATTGACTCCTATAGCATACAGGGAGCCAATGTAAGGACTGGCAGAAGGGTGAGGTGTGAGAGGACCGACTAGAAAGGAAAATCAGTCTAGCTGCAGCATTCATTACAGACTGTAGCAGGGCAATATGGCTTTTGGGGAGACCAATCAGGAAAGGGTTACAGTAATCCATGCGGAAAATTACTAGAGCATGGACAAGCTCCTTGGTAGCATCTTGCGTAAGAAAGGGGCGGATGCGGGCTATGTTTTTGAGTTGGAACCTACAGGACTTGGCAACAAACTGGATGTGAGACTCAAAGGTGAGACCAGAGTCAAGTATGACGCCAAGACAGCGCACTTGCAGGGATGGACTTATGTGTATATCACTGACTTGAAGGGAGAGCGAGAGAGTAGGATCAGTACTAGGAGGAGGAAAAACAAGGAGTTCAGTTTTAGAGAGGTTAAGTTTCAGAAAGCGTGAGGACATCCAGTCAGAGATGGAAGAAATGCAAGCAGTGACACGTTGCAGGACGGCAGGGGAGAGGTCCGGGGAGGCGAGGTATATCTGAGTGTCATCAGCGTACAGGTGGTAGTGGAATCCAAAAGAGGCAATAAGTTTACCAAGAGAGGCAGTATAAAGAGAAAATAGAAGGGGGCCAAGGACAGACCCTTGGGGAACTCCAACTGAGACAGGACGAGGGGAGGAGGTATCCTTGGGAAAGGAGACACTGAATGAGCGTTGGGAGGGATAGGAGGAAAACCAAGAGAGGACAGAGACCGAGCGATTGAAGAGTTTGAAGGAGGAGAGCATGATCAACGGTGTCAAAGGCAGCAGAGAGGTCAAGGAGAATTAATATGGAGTTGTGACCTTTGGATTTAGCGGAGATTAGGTCATTAGTTACTTTGATAAGAGCAGTCTCAGTAGAGTAGAGAGGGCGGAAGCCAGACTGAAGAGGGTCAAGGAGAGAGTTGGAATTAAGGAAGCGGGACACACGGGTTAAGACAAGTCTTTCCAAAAGCTTTGATGAGAAAGGGAGCAGGGATATGGGACGATAGTTAGAAGGGGAGGATGGGCCAAGAGATGTTTTTTTCAGGATAGGTATTACAGTGGCATGTTTAAGGTCAGCAGGAACAGTGCTGGAAGAGAGAGAGCAGTTAGATGTTTGTTAGGGTAGGCACAAGACAAGGGGAGAGAGATCTGATGAGGTGAGATGGGACAGGATCGAGCGGGCAAGTGGTGGGGCGAGAGGAATGGAGAAGCGCAGCCACCTCTTGTTCAGTAGCCGGGTAGAAAGTCTGGAGGGTAGGGAAAGCATGATTTACATGTGGTTGAGAAAGAGAACAGCAAGGAGGGGAGAATTGTTTCCTTAGCTGTTCAATCTTGTCGGTAAAGTAGCATGCAAAGCTATCAGCTGTAAGGTTAGTTTGGGGGGTGGCCACAGCAGGGCGGAGAAGGGAATTAAAGGTGTCAAAGAGACGTCTGGGATTGCGAGAGCATGAACTAATGAGAGAGGAAAAGTATGACTGTTTGGTGAGGGCTGCGCTGTATGAAAGCAACATGAATCTATAATGGAGTAGGGCCCCAACCCGCCGCTCAGGCATGGGGGCAGGCGGGAGGACGACAATAGGTCCCCCCCCATATTCTATCTTAGGGCCCCCACCCGCAGCTCAAGGTGGGGGCCAGGGTGGAGGACAATAGGTCCCCCCTTTATTCTTCTTTAGGGCCCCCACCCGCCGCTCAAGGGTAGGGATTGGGGGGAGGACAATAGGTCCCCCCCTTATTTTATTTTAGGTCCCACACCTGCCATTTAGGGGTGGGGGAAACATTTTTTGTTTTTTACAGTGAGCAGCCACATGTGTCTGTTTACTAGACATGCCCCTACTTGCGGTATAGTGAGTAGGGGCATAATTTACTAATACTAAGTAATCTTTATAATAATGAATGAATAATGTAGGTCTTTCAGCCTTTTAGTAGATAGCTCCTAATACCATGGGAATTAAGGAGTTATCTACTTATTTATTCCTGTCATTCCATTGACAGGCTAAGTAATTTACATTTTATATGAATGTGTGTTACTTGATTGTTGTAAGTGTTGCAAATGCTTACAGCTGAATCCTGGCTATGTTTGTATACTTTTTATTTAAACTTGTATACAGTGTAACATTCTTAATTCTTCCACTGGGTAGGTATATTAGTACTTCGGCAATACTGTACTTCGGAACTTCGGCAATTCAGCTATTCGGACATTCGGAAGTATCCGAATGTTCGAATTGCCCGAAATTCGTCCCAATTGACATTCGGAACGAAACGAATTGCACATGTGTAAAACAAACTGCAATAATTATCTTTGCAGGGTTAAGGGATCTGGGACAGTGAGCCCAGACCACTTTAAAAAGCTGAAGCGGTCTGGGTGCCTATAGTGTCCCTTTAACTATCCACGGTCTGATGATGACCTTATTAATTCTTCTCCAGGGATTGAGCTGCATGACCTCACCAATCATAATTATCATAATACATTTTTAAAAACAAAAAAACGGTGAGAAAAAAAAAGTGAATTGTTGGTAATCTGCTTTTAAGGCACAAAGCCTGCCACTGTCTTTGTGAAAACTGCCACATTCCCTGTATTTCTCTGTTATAGCAGCTTTTGCTGAGACCTTTCATTTCAGAGTGCAAAGTATTTTATCATAATAAATGTAATCTCTTAATCTTCTCAGTCAAGGTTGCTTGAGCGACACTAAATTAATTGGAAGGCACTCAACGGCTATAATTATTTAAAGTTTTAGGATTTCTCATTTTGAAAATATATTACAAAATAAAATAACAGAGGAATGCCGAAGAAGGCTTAATGTCTTTGCACATAAAGAGTTAATACAGAATGCAAGATATTCCCTAATGACCTTAACATTGTGTTAAATAATAGATCTGAATTATTATACTGCAATGTTGCATAGCAAGGCTTTATTTGAATACATGTTAAACATGCACTGCTATAAATCAAAGTAAATATTCAGGTGTTTTTTTTTTAATTCTTGCTGTTTGTCCTGCTACATAGGAGATTGTCGAAACAGATTCAGCCCACTCCTTAGTTTTTTTGTTGCTTCTTTCATTATGGGGAAGAAATTAAACATCCCTCCAAGTCAGTACTTAAAATATCAAAGACATTGTTAAATGCCTTTGAGTCACTATACAAGTAATTCACTTGTGCAAAGCGGCTTCATGGTAAATGAAACACTACTAAGGAGGTTTGCAAAGCTGAATAAACACAAAATTAATTAGTCTGAAACTTCCTGATGGATCCATTTAATGAAAGACTGTAATTGTGCCAAACACTCCACACTATGAATTTGTTCTATATTGTTTCATGTTACTTTGCGTTGAAAGTTACACGTTTATATTTTTACGCAACCATAAAAAAAGTGGCTTGGAGATATAGCAACTAATAAGTCAATAAAAACGCACTTAAAGGGAACCAGTCATTGTTTATTATCATTTAAAAACAAAAAGGTTACATAAACTACAGCCTCCATGTAGATCATTTTTAATTCATGCGCAAAACGAAATACCTATTTTCCGTGCTATTCATTTACCATTCTCGTTGGAGTCTCCATCTTCACATACTCATTGGTCAGAAGTACCATGTTTCTGCCAAGACCATAAGACATCTAAATGGGTGAACCAAGTTCAAAACATTTTTTTGCAATGTGGCATTTGCACATTACATTAGTTTTTTTTGGTTTTTCTTAGCTTAACTGAAAAAAAGCGATTGAATAAATAGTGCTTCTTACCAAAGGTGATTTAAATATGGCTGTACTCATGGAGCAGATAGCTCCCTATATTGATACCTTTGTGGGATTGCCATATATTTAAGGATACTAAATTAGGTAATTGGTATACTTAAGACAACCTTATTCAAAAATAATAAATTAGTGAGTTATCTACGAATCGGCTAAAAGATCACAATTAAGAAAATAACTTCTTAATCTTGAACATCCAGCACTTAACAGACAACTCTCTAAATTGGTACTGGTTTAGCTTTGTAACAGCTCTCTTAATTCATAACCCCACAAGAAACAATGAAAATGTTTAAATATGTTCGATTGTGCACAGGTTTAGTGAGGGCATCTCATAAGCCAGCACTGGTTTCAATACTTCTCTGATTTTCAACTTTTTTTAAATTTACATTTTTTTAAAAATTTTGGGGGGAGGGGGCAAATCGAATAACTCACTCGGGTATTTGAAAATGTCGCACTGCTATGACTACCCACCAATAGCAGTTTGTGTCAATACACCTTTTGGTGGTTTAAAATAACAAGGCACAAGGCAGCAACATTGTGATAATATTTAATTCTTCCCAACTTCAAACCATCGCTTGCTGTGAACAGTAAAATCAAATACCCTGCACTGTAAAGCGAACATGTGAACCAGAGCTTTGACTCTGCGTGTTCTTTAATTTCAATTAAGCCCAGAACATTAATTGTGCTACTTTTCCATTGTACGTTCTGCTTTTCCTTCTCAGTTTGCCACAAGTTAGTCTTTGAAACTAAATGTAATGACCGCAAACACAGTCATCTGGAACAGGAGGCCTTCGAATATTTGACATTTTTATCACCTTGTTCCCACTTCCGTTTTCAATAAAAACGCAAATTGGAATAAAGCCTGGGGTCTGCTTAATCATTAGTAAATTAAGAATCTGTTTTTAATAACCTCTAACTTGTAAATAATGTATTAATTGAGTAGCTTGAATGTTCAAAAGTCTGCTAAATGTGTAACTAAAGTAGCTAGCTATTATTGGAGAATGCATACCAAATGCAGCAAATTAAATAAGCCAATTGTTGCTTGTGGAAATTGTGGTATAATTGGTAAAAGGCACCTGCAGCTGTTTTCCAAGCAAACAGAAATAAAGCATGTATATAGTATATGTATGTGTCACAATGTGATGGACGTATTTCATTTTCCGACCTTTATAAATTGCTACTTTGTGGGCCGTTTGTGTTTGTTTTCTTGTTTTGTTTTTATATTGGGGTTTTTTTTTGGGGTTGGTGAGGGGATGGTATAAACTGTGTGTGTTTGTGTGTGTGTGCGTGTTTGTGGGAACAGACAGTTGTCTGATGTAAACTTCTACAAAAAACTGGACAAGGACCCCACCAAGGAATATACAGCTAAACTCGTAAAACTTATCAAATCATTTCTGAAACACCTACAGCAAGAATTAGAATATCTGATGCCATTCCAGTCCTCAGATGGGAACCTTCTACATGCTGCCCAAAATCCACAAGCCAGGAAACCCAGGACTGTACATTATAACTGGTATGGGAATACTATGGGAACAAATATCTGGCCTAATAGAAAACATTCTTAGGCCTCTAGCTATTAAGACTGAGAGCTTTATACAGGGCACTACAGACTTCCTCAATATGAACTACCTGAAAATACTATGCTAGTAACAATGGATGTGGAATCCTTATACAGTAACATCCCACATAAGGATGGTATTGAGGCCTGCATTAAATTTCTCTCATCCCACAAACCAACACACAAATATGTTTGCCCAGTTTATAGAATTCATACTCACATATAACTACCTACAAATGACAGGGACAGCAATGGGCACAAAACATTTCACCCCAATACGATAATCTTTTCATGGATGACCTAGAAAACAGATTTTTCTGTACACAGCCCCACAAACCATATACCTATTATTGTTACATCGATGATATTTTCATAATATGGATAGAAGGAGAAGAAAGCCTTACACACTTCAATAAATCATTTAATTCATTCCGCCCATCAATAAACCTTAAAATGAACTTTTCAGATCTTGGAGTTTCTTGGACTGCACAATAACTGTCACCAATGGCATTCTTCATTCGTCTGTATATAGAAGACCCACAGACAGGTACAGCTACCTCCACAATTCCAGCTTCAATCCCAATCACACCAAAAAAGGTATCATCTACAGCCAGGCTATCAGATACCACCGCATTTGCTCTGACACAAAATACAGAGATCAGCACCTGAGTACACTGTCATAATCATTTAGGCAAAAGGGTTACAAGGAAAAGCCCATATGTAAAAAAAAAAAAAAATCTGCCCTAAAAACACCACGGGAAAGGCTACTACAACACAAAGAAAAGGAAAACAAAACCAGAATCCCTCTAGTAGTTACATACAACCCAACTCGAGAAGGAGTATGTAAGATTATTAAAGAGCCACATTCAAAAAAATATTTCAACACCAGAGATGAAGGACTTAATGTAGACTCTGGCTTCCTCACACACTACCAAAGCTTTTGTTATAAACACACATCGTAATGTCTTATATAGTTCTTTTTCAATATTTTAATTTCACCTTTATTGGATCAATTTTTATACATACATATATGCAGCTATATATTTGCATGCCCTGCTCTGCTGTTTTCTTGTTATTTTTTTTCTCGTTTTTTTTTTCTTTTTATTTTTAACTAGCTTATTGACTCTCCTTTGTTTTTTTACTTTTTCTGGCTATTCTCAGCCAACCTGAACCTTTCACTTTCAGGCACATCTTCTGCTATTTATGACACCCCACTCATGTCCCTCCTGCCCCCTTCCCCTCCCTCCCCTTCTCTAACATCAGTTGTTTTAAGCAGGGTTCAAGTCCTGGGGAATCAAGTGTGGGAACACAGCCAAGATCCCCTCCCCCCAAAGAATTATATACACTTGTGCATGTGAGTGTGTGTGTGTGTGTGTATATATATATATATATATATATATATATATACGCGTGCACACACATACACTCAAACTAGTGATGTGCCGAACGGTTCGCCGCGGACTCATCATTGAGTAAACTTTGACCCTGTACCTCACAGTCAGCAGACACTTTCCAGCCAATCAGCAGCAGACCCTCCCCCCCAGACCCTCCCACCTCCTGCACAGCTCACTAAGAATGCAGCTTCACAATGGATGCTGTCCAGGAGGTGGGAGGGTCTGGGAGGGAGGGTCTGCTGCTGATTGGCTGGAATGTGTCTGCTGACTGTGAGGTACAGGGTCAAAGTTTACTCAATGATGAGTCCGCAGCGAACCATTCGGGGCGAACCGTTCAGGACATCACTAACTCAGACAAACACATACACTCACAGACACACACATACTCACACACGCAAATTATAATTTTTTTAAATTAAAAAATGTCCACCCAGCCTCCCTACCTGGAGAGCTGGCATGAACCTGTCCCTGGGGTCCAGTGGGGTGGGTGGATGTCTTCATATCAGACGCGGCGAGGGAGCTATGTTCTCTCTGCTCTCTCTCATCGCGTGGGCAGTCTACTGATGCCGGGAGCCGGAATATGATGTCATATTACGGCTCCCGGCATCAGCAAATGGCGCGCGGCGAGAGTGAGCAGAAAGAACTCCCTCACCGCATCTGATATGGAGACAGGCGCCTGCTGGGGGGGTGGGGTGGGTCCATCAAACACTGCCCCCACATGACAGGGGGAACACGGGGGCATTTTTTGCCGCCCCTGAGTGCCTGCAGGAACAGCGGGAACGGCATTCCTGCTGTAAAAAAAGTGCATGAATGACGTTCCCACGCGTTCCTGCAGGACTCAAGCCCAGGTTTTAAGTGTTAAACGCTTTCAGATTGATCAGTATTGCTTCAAACCTATGGAAGAGAGGAAACTCTCGAAAGCTTTTCTTTGAAATATTACATTAGTCCAATAAAAAAGGTATCATTGCATACTGCAAATATTACGGGCTAGCCACTTGCTGGTAAAGCACAGAAACACATGGTGTGTTGTCACAATAACAATTAGATGGTCAGAATTATTAACTAAATAAGAATTCAAAGTGAATTCCAAATTTCATTGTAGTAATTAAATCTTAAATTTGAAATTCACTTTGAATTAGCACTATATTGATAACCTTGTGTGTGATTGCATGATGACAACCACACTTAGTGGTTAAAAAAAAAAAAAGCTCACACCACTAAGTAGGGATGCTACATCTTGTGACTGGTTTTAGTGGAGAAAGTCATAGTGTATACAATGTCTGTAACTATGAATTTGTGCTATGCTAGATTCATATCTTTGTAATTTTTTTAAGGAGGGTTACAGGGGGAGGGGAAAGAAAAAAGGTAATACAAACTGTGTGTACCACATTCCACTTAACAACAATGTTGAATACAAAATTCCTCTCTACACTCTAGACCAGGGATAGGCAACCTTTGGCACTCCAGATGTTGTGGACTACATCCCCCATCCCTGGTAAAGCATCATGGGAGGTGTAGTCCAAAACATCTGGAGTGCCGAAGGTTCCCAATGCCTGCTCTAGACCGTAGACATCTAACATATCTCTTAATCTGTCTTAGGTCAGGAGCCCTCAGATTACTCGGTGGTTAAACTCAATGAGTGGGTAGAGAGTAGGTAGGATGGGGGTTGTGGCTTTTTCCATGCCCTAGCAATGATCATAGCTGTATAGGAACCGAAACTGTAATTTTCCCTCTGTTCTTGTTCGTGCGTCAGTCTGCACCTTGTTTCTAAAACCTGGTTTATTATACCTTTCTACCATCTTCCGATGCTGCCTGATTCTCCTACACTACCACCACACATGGTACATCGTGCCCACCTCTCTGTTACATCTCGAACATACATTTGAAGTGCCTGGGAACATATTAGACAACCTTTCAGGGACCATGTACCATCTATATTGTATCTTTTGAATAGTCTCTAAATGTGATGCGCAAGTAGTTTTACCCCTTGGGGGACATGAACGCTGTGCGCCATATCTGGTCTCCTAACGTGCATCCCAGGTCTCTATGCCAACCATAATGTCCTCTTCCCCATCATCTGCATTTGTTATCAGATAGTTTATAGTTGAGACATGGGTTTCAGGAGTAGTTTTTGGGATAAGCAAAGTTTGTCTAAGGTCAATACCTCCTCAGCTTGTCTACTGCTGATGGTTGCTTTGGATAGAAAGGATTTTAGCTGTAGGTACGAGAATATGGCTTGATTCAGTATTTTGTATTTCACCTGGAGTTCTGGGAACGGTATAATTTTGTCGTTTTCCCATACGTGGTGTAGGTGTGTGCATCCCCTTGTCGCCTATGTGGTCCAGTCAAAAGTTAGTATCCCCGCCCTTATGTCTTCCAGGGATGTAAGTGTCAAAGTCAATCCCTTTGAGCACAACAAGTCTCGGGTAGAGTCCCCTGTTTCAACATGAGAGCTATTGTTGGCAACAGATGAGGGCCTTTTGGGGATAACTGACAGGGGAGTCTATATAAGGGCTGTATGCCTTGTTCACCTGCCCAATGTGACTCTATATGCATCTACCTGGGAGGTTCAGAGTCAAAGTTAGTGATCGCTATGGCCGACAATAAAGCCGCCTTATAATAAATTTTTACATTCGGCATTCCCAAACCGCCTCCCTTAATAGGTCTCTGCAGTACTTTTGTCGCCACCCTCACCTCTTTGTTGGCCCAAAGCAGACAAATGATCTTTGGACCGCAGTTATGTATGATTTTGGCAGGAATATTGGTAGGGTGCGCAGTAAATATTGCAACTTGGGAAGCACTGACATTTTCACTGCGGCTAATCTCCCCAGCCAGGATAAAAGTTGACCTTCCCACCCCCTTAACGTGTCTGAGATATGTTAGAGCTGTTTCCAGTAGTTGCGTTTGAACAAGTGTGGTAAATGTCGTAGTATCTTAACACCTAGGAATGTAAGGACATCCGATCTTCTGTCAAACGTGAATGAGGTGCACAGTCTGTCTAGGAGGTCAGGTGGTAATCCTATGCCCATAGCCTGTTTTTTTAATCACATTTAGCTTATAATAGCCATTGTCTCCATATTCACAAATCGTTTTGATCAGATTCGGTAGGGATGTATGAGGTTGAGTTATGTCAGTAATACGTAATCTGCGCACAAGTTCACTTTGAATTCCGTATCTCCTATCACCACTCCATGTATGGCGTTGTGGTTCCTGATTTTCTCCACTAGTGGTTCTAGCGCCAATACATAAAGTAAGGGCGAAAGGGGGCACCCCCGACGCGTGCCATTGGTGATATTGAAAGGCTGGGACGCAAAGCCGGCATTCAACACCTGTGCTGCCGCTCTGTTGTATAAGGCCCTGACAACCAAGATGAAAACCCCTGGGATCCCAAATTTGTGGAGGACTGCTTTTAGGAATTTCCAGCTCAAGCGGTCAAAGGTCTTTTCCGCATCTAGCGTGAAGGCCACACTTTCACCCCCCTGTCTCTGTGTGGTGTGCAGGTTATCCAATACTTTTCTCGTGTTGTCGCCTCTCTGCCTTCCTTTCATGAAACCTACTTGGTCAGTATGTATTATGTGCAGCAAAATCTTTCCTAGCCTTAATGCGTAAATTTAGCAAAAAGTTTTTCATCAGTGTTCAAGAGTGATATGTGACGGAAATTTGGGGGATGGGTATCTTTGTAATGTTTAAGGTTAATTTCTGCTATGTGACTTGTCAGTTTAATTGAAAGATTTACTTCTATAAATAATATTTATTTATTTTTTTATATCCTGTGTCAAGTCGTCTTTTTCATTTTATTGCAGTGTGACATGATTTAATATGCTCTGGTACGTACTTTAGGGTTTCAATGTCTTATTGCTATTGTATTTTCTGATCTATGATGCATAGGGAGTTAGCCTCTTGCCCTTTGAAAATAATGGAATTGCTAAGTTTTGATGGTAAGTGGCAGCAATAATGACAAAATTAGAAACCAGTTGTAGATTAGTTGTTAAGTAGTGGTTAGTCAATCCCATTGAGAATAAAGGAAGTCATTAACCACTACTTAAGCAGTGGCATCTGGTAACTCCCTGAATCTGCTGGTAAAGTTTTGCAGTTTGTGAACAGCTATTCGAGGGACTTGTTGTGATGCTCGCAGAGTCCCTTAAAAAACAAACAAAAAAAAAACCAAATAGTGAAGTTCTCAAAGCTCTCTTAAATCAAAGAATATATTTCTGGAAGTGCAAGTTGTTTATGGAGATTGGCTTGCTCTTTGATCTCATCTTCACACATATCACCTAATGTGATGATTTACCCTACAGCAATTCATAGTAACTCAAAACTTGATATTGACCTTTTATTAACAGGACCGAAATTACAAGTTTGCTGAGCCTGCTAAGATACATTGACCGCTTTCAACTAAAATGTTTTGAATGTTTTTATGGATTCTGTAGCTGTGGTTTTTAAAATGGTCATTGGAACATTTAGTTTTAAAATGTTCTTTCTGGAAGACTTGGTGTGACTGAGTGGACATTTGTGTATTAAAGTGGAATAGACCTTAGTGCCCTTATCTTCTTGGAGCATTACTCGGGGACAAAAGGTGTGTGTATATATATATATATATATATATATATATTATTGCTCTCTAAAGCTACAATGTTCTCAATGGACTAGGAATTAAAAATTATAGATTCACATTAAAGGGACTCTTTCACTTACCTAGTGTGGTTTATTTATTAAAACATGAATTGTGTAGAATTGATGAAGGAATTGCAAATTCCTAAATTTAAATTTTAAATGAAAATAGATTATAAATAAAAAATAAAAAAAACACATGCCCAACTCCTTTTGTAGTTCTCTTGTCAATCATCTGCAGTCCCTGGCTTAGTGAAAGAAGCCACTGTGAATGTTGTGCCTTACAAAATTTTCTATATATTGTGCGATCAGAGTTGTCGAGTGTAAAGACTGGTATGGCTCTCAGGAATTCAAAATTAATTTAAAATATTTTCCCAATTGTCAAACTTAAAGTATAGCTAACAAAAGAAATTCACCAGAACAAAGAAGATTCGGGATATGGCTGTGTAAATAGGATGTCCAAACAATATACAGAAGATAAATGATATAAAAAGCAATAGTACTTAGCTTATAAAGACGTATGACAGCCTCCCTAGGTCGCTACCCAAACAAGCGACCTATATCATATATAGTATTAACCAGAACAAAGAAGATTCGGGATATGGCTGTGTAAATAGGATGAACAAAAGAAATTCACCTGGAATTCCAAATAATTTACACCTCTAATGTGTAAACAGAGTACAAAGTAACTCATGATGATGGTAGGACCCATTTTTCTTGATTTTGGGTCATAGCTCCAGGCCAGAATCCAGTTTGACTGTCACTTATAGGGAGTCCTTCCTTCTTAGTTTTTTAAACTGGTGACCTACTTCTAGGAGGAAAGTGAAAAGTCACAGCTCATGAAAAAGCGCAGCACGGTATTAATTATATTGGGTGTTTTTTATAGCCCTTTATGCAAGTGCTGGTCAATGAGCAGACAAGGTTGTGGGTCAGTTTATGGTGGACGAGCATGTATTTGCAAGTACCTTGATGTCATGTGCCCTCTGATACTTTTGTCTTTTTCCTCTGTTCCCTCCTTCTGTCTGTATTGGCTAAAAAGCTGCATTGTCATACATTTCTATCCCATGTACTTGGCTTTATGTTGTGAGTCATTGATTTCAAAGATACCTGCCTATGCTCTTACTGATAATTATATATAGGGTCGTTCCCTAAAATCTAATTTGTAGTTTATTTAAATGAATAGCATAGTGTGTAGTATAAACATTTAATTTCCAACCCCTCTGTAGTCACAACTTGGCTATCCTAAAATGTGACTTTTTGATTATTTCTCATAATTTAGAGTTTAGTGAATAACATTGTTAGATCTTTATTCCAAAGAGCTGAATTAGACCGTGCAATGGATTTGATAGGATTACTTGCATTTATTAATGATACTAAAAACAATTCTATAAGAATGCAAGATGTTATCTAACCTAGTAGCCCCAATACTCACTTTGCTTTAGAAGATTTCTGGCTTGCAGAGGCTTGGGGCAGGAAGCGTTGTTAATCCACATGTATACACCTTAAAGAGTTACTCTAAGAACCAAGACCAATTCAGTGTTTTGAAGTGATCATGGTGCTTGAAGTCTGCATTTGCAGCATTTCAGTTTGTAACCCTGCACATACAGAGAAACTTAGGTTAGCTGCCTAAGGTGTAACTCCACCTCTGGCAGCATCATTAGCAAACCCAAAACGAGAGTTCTGTGCATATTTCTTTGCACAATCTCTCGTTTGTTGGATGAGCGCATTCAGTTGACACAATCAGCCAATGTATGAATGGCAAGATTGGCATCCAGCTTTTGCAGCTGTGGTGGGAGCCTTGACGCCTGGTGGGGCTCAGATAGGAACCAAACCATTGCTAGGCAATGGTGCCCGGAACTCCTAACATAACTGCTACAGCAGGCTGAAGTGTTTATGATGCTTGGAGTTACCCTTTAATCTACCTCCATACAAATATAATATGGAAATAATTCAAGAGCAATTACAGTACCTAATACTAAAACCCTCTATGAAAAAATTGATATCAGATTTGTTCTTGATACCCTGGAATTTACACTTTGTTTGAAATTAAAGAACATGTAAGTTCTTTGTCATAAATACCTCATTTCAGTAGACTACTGATAGTCAGATGATGAATAATGAGCCGGCACGGACAAATTAAGGTAAATCTACTTTTGAGTCCTATGGGTTTTATTTCCTTCTCCGTTTATTACCTTTGAATTATTTTAAACAGAGATGAAATGATTGTTTTATGAAGGACAGGGACATGTTCCTTTGCTCTTTTAATTGGTAATAAGGTTTGCATCAAAAGCACAAATTTTACCAATAAAAGTGTCAGATCGACTTAGGCCTTTGATTTGGAATGACCGAAAATACTAAAACCATGTTCAGAAAGTCGGATTAGTTATACAAATGCATTCTAGGGTAACTTTTGCTATTAAAAAAAAAAAAAAAGTTTTTTTTAAAAGTTTCCTCTAGTCTCATATCTGTCTGTCTTTTTGTAATAAATGCTTATTTTTTAATATAATTTTTTTTTTTTTGTAGTCAAATGTATTAATAATGTTTCAAACCACATCTTTCAAATAGGGAACCACAGGTGCAAAGTAAAGTCACAATGATTTCATAGAGTGCAGTAGCATCTGACCTGTTAATTACAAAATGTAAAGAATTATAATTCAATTCCAATTCCAGAACATAAGGACAATATGTTTGCTCATTTGAACAATGTGCTATGAGTATTATTTAATTAAGATCTGGGGTGCAGCTGTTTTCTGGAAAACCTGTTTCAAATAACAAATCTTGCAGCACTAGATGGTTCAAATTTTTTTTCCCCCTAGCTTTTTTTTCAAGATGCCAGGTGTGAACAACAAATTCTAATCACTGTATAACTGCAAAAAATCCAACAGCGGTGTACAATAATAGATATGTCGGTGCCAAAAATATTTAAATGTAACAAACTAATTAAACACGCTCCATAAGAAAGGTGAAAAGATCATTTCTCCAAGGTGCTGCCTTTTAATTTAATTTGGAGTTGAAGGGTTATTTCTTTGCTGAAATCATGTTGTGTGAAAAGGCACATTTTGTCTTTTTTGTTTATTTCAATCAGATGTCATCAAAAAGAAAAGCGAACCTTTTGTTAATTGTGTGGTGTCAGCCCTTTCAGTTGCAGATAATACACACTCGTCTATGGTCTAATCATTTTTCACAAATATAGTAAGAACAATCTTCCCTGCACCTAAATAAATAAATAAATCGAGAATATGTGTATAAAATAAATTAATATATATTTATATATATATATAAACAATAAAATATAGTATAGTGTTGGGGGACTCGGGAGCACAATAAAACCCACTCCAGAACACGAAAATTAAAGTAGGGGAAAGAAAACCATAAAATAAGTCTGCACCCTACAATTCATAATCAAATAACTCTTGGAATTTGAAATGGCGACTAATGGACACTTTCTTTCTAAGGTTGTAGGTGAAGATATTTTAAGTGACTTTATGACCTTGTTAAAACCATTTATGCTTCAATGTTGGAGTGGCTTAAATGTATAGGTCAGAAAATTACAGATACAGTCATTTTATGTTAAACTATAAGTTGAGGAAAGAGTAATTTGAAAAAGCACAACTTAAAAAAATAAATTAAAAAAAGCAGAATTATCCACACCGCCACCTGTTTTACACCAGATTCTCTTCATGATGTCTGTCTCCTGTCGGATATTGAACTATGTACCATTGTGAATTGGTAATATATGTACCATTTCATGAGTGAGTAGGCAAAAGACATTTCTTTTATTTCTTATGGGATTCATATTAAACTGTAGGTTATAAATGAATGGCACAATCATAAAACAAAACCTAGAAACGAAGAAAAAAATGAAATGCAGGTGGTATAGCTGCCCATTCGCCTTGGAAAAATGTCTCCAGGTCGTGCAAAGTCTTTGGTCTACTTGCATGAACTGCACGTTTGAGATCTCCCCGAGAGTGGTTCGATGATATTAAGGTCAGGAGACTGTGAAGGGCACTCCAGAACCTTCACCTTTTTCTGCTGTAACCACTGGAGGGTCAACTAAGCCTTGTGCTTCAGGTCATGCTGAAAAGTCCAAGAGTGTCCCATGAGCAGCATTCGTGCAGAAGAATGCAAATTGTCTGCCAGTATTTTCTGATAACATGCTGCATTCATCTTGCCATCAATTTTCGCAAGATTACCTGTGCCCTTAGAGCTCACACCACCTCAAAACATCAGTGAGCCACCACCATGCTTCACAGTGGGGATGGAGAACCATACCAGTCTTTACACTCGACAACTCTGTTTGCACAATATATAGAAAACTTTTCACTATAGGTCTTGTTGATCCCTCTCCAAAGATGGCGCTTGTGGTTGTGAACTTAAAGCTCTATTTTGGTCTCATCACTCCAAATTACAGTGTACCATGTGTTGAGAGTACAGCAGTGACATCCGTTCCGAAAATTACCCACAGGATTAAGATGACAAAGTCTGCGAAGGACAGGATAACTTAAAGGGACTTTCCAGTTCCAGGAAAACAATCCGTTTTCCTTGCACTGCAGGTCCCCACTCCATCCCACCTCCCAATCCCTGGTTGCTGAAGGGGTGAAAACCCCTTCAGTCTCTTACCTGAGACCCCCGCCAATGTCCCCCGGCGGTGGGTTCGGGTCGCCGCCGCTCCTCCTCTTCATTACGTCGGCCGGTGGACGAGACTGATCCGGCCGGCCGGGGAGACCTAATGTGCGGCATGCACATTAGAGCTCTCCATAGGAAAGAATTGAAAATGCTTTTCAATGCTTTCCTATGGGGAATTGAGCGATGCTGGAGGTCCTCACACAGCGTGAGGACGTCCATCGACGCTCTAGCACAGAAAATCGGTGCTATAGACATGGAAGTGCCCTCTAGTGGCTGTGTAGTAGACAGCCACTAGAGGTGGAGTTAACCCTGCAAGGTAATTATTGCAGTTTATAAAAAACTTCAATAATTACATTTGCAGGGTTAAGGCTAGTGGGAGTTGGCACCCAGACTACTCCAATGGTGCGGAAGTGGTCTGGGTGCCTGGAGTGTCCCTTTAAGTAAACCTCACCTTTACCTGTCCCCCTGGCAACTGGACCCCACCAGCGGCAATGTCACTGTTGCGGTGACAGTGTCGCTTTGAGGATAACCCATAGTAAGTAAGAAACGTTTGATGAATGATGCGTTTATCATATGACAAAACCATTCACGCTGGTTGCCTGTCTAGCTACGTAGCCTGTAAGAAAATGTGCATTAATTAACCCACAAACTATCCCTGGTGGGTAACTGGACCTAAGAGAATGTAACTTTTCTTTTTAGTACAGAGTGCTTTTTTAATAAACAAAAAAAAACAAAAAAACAAAAACAAACGCTTCCTCTCATTGCTTGAGTGGCTCAGAGACACCTACATGTCACTCATGGCCAATTTAAAGCACAAAGAGATAAGTGAGCATGTGCCCATGTATGAAATTCCAAGAGTGTGTTATAATTTTAATTAGTTATTCATTGTGGCCGGAGACTGGATCTTTCTTACACAGCCCTGTAGAACATACGTCCTTTTATTTAAGTTACTTCTTGTTAAAGGAGACATATTGTCAACCTAGTTTACTAACTTTTGAAAAGTTTCTATTTAATTACATTTGACATGGGATCATCTTTGCTACAATTCTGTGAAAATATCTAATGGCATATAATTATGCCAGAAGCCGAAAATGCTAGTACTGGCTGAAGTCTGAAAAGGTGATCCTTAAAGACAATAAATATTTAGACATAAAGCACAGAATATATTCTAGAGATGGTAAGTGGACTACATGCAAATGTATTAGTTTTGGATTTCTAGAAAATGAACTATATATAATATATAAACCGAAAATGTATTTTAAGTTATTAACAGCTGGAGAAGAGAACCATTTGTATTCCCATGACCCAATGTCCCATGTCATATAATGTCTCTGTCATTAATAGCCCGAGGTTAAGAGGTACTCTCAAACCACTTCTACTCCTATAACTCTAAAACTACATGACATCTTAACCTTTATAAAAACTGCTTCCAGTCAGCATGTAAAAAAACACCCAAATCTTATTTGACCTTTACAATTTGGTACAGTTTTAGCAAAAGACAGAAAAAAATGACGTTACAACAAATTGTTTTTCAGCAATGGCCTTTTAAAAATGTTCATGAACTGTATTTGCCTTCCCTATATTGCTTAAAACCAATTATTAATCATGAAAGAAAAACACCTCAAATATTTGTGATCAGTTGATTTATTATTATAATAAATATTTTATTTCCCCCTGTGCCGGTGACATTTAAAACTGTTTTATTGAAATATAAATTAAATTTGTATATACTTTGCATTATTGTACTTTTTAAAAATAGAAAGTGCAGGTAAAATTATTGCCTGCTGGTATATGTGCGCGCTTTATCAAGCATCAGAATAAAAATTAGAAAATAACAAATTACTTCGATACATATCACAGGGAGCCAAAAAATAAAATATATGCCCATTCAAAACGTGATAGACTAAAATTAAGACTATATGAATTGACACAAATTCTATTGAAATTTTGTCAAAAAAAAATCCTATTAAAGAAACCAAAGCATAGTGGTTTTGATCCTGAAAAAAGCCAAAAACCTTAAAGTCTTCTAACTTCTTTTACAATGAGGAGAGGTGAATGTAGATCCAGCGCAATAGCATTCGCTATATTGATTAAATAAAAGTCATTAGTTGTATTCTTTTTTTTTTTTTTACTTGAACGAGATAATGTTGTAATAAAACTGAGATAGATGACACCTACAAAAAGCCACCAGCAATGTGAGATATTATCTTAATATTTCACTAAAAGATTCCTTCCTTGAGCAAATGTTTTATATATATATGCAAAGCATCCCCAACACATTATGGAATTAGAAGGGCAGATAGAGCTTTTGGGATAGCAGATGTTCTATTTCATGAATTGGTTTATAAATAGTTAATCTCAAATGACCATTTGTAAGACAATGTTCCGAATGTTCCACTGCATGATGTATAGTAATTCTCAGATCATGACTGTTTAGTCACCATATCTTAATCAAATAATAAGCTCGTTATTTGTTGGGTGTGGACATTGACATAGTTTTTGTTAAATATAATTCATTGTAACTTTGTTTTATTTTGATCTGCCGGCCTAAGGAATAGCAGACGGTAACCAGTTCACTACCCAGTTCGCTACAAGTTCTAAATTCCTGTAAAATCTTCAGCCACCCAGGATTCCACTCCCCTAACTAGCTAGCATGAGAGCGATATTGTTGCCTCCATATTGGTTTGCACTGGAGCTATAAACAGACATTGTTATGACAATAAACATGCAAGAAAAAAACATGGAACGGGTGAGACAGTTTGTGGAGCTTAAATTGTCTAAAAAAACAACTCCTGAATAATCATTCCACATGGCATATTCAAACAAACTTGCAGCATACTATACTGCCCAATTTAAACACTATTAACCCTTAATAGCTGGCTTAGTATCTGATAGTGCTCAACCAATGAGCTAAGCCTAGCATCACTCACTGTTGGAAGTAGTGGAATCAGGAAGCATGCAGACATCGGGTAAAAAGTCAACTCGTTTATAAAATGGTTTGACTACTTACAATGGGGGTTGCCAGGGCACTGTTTCTTTAAATATATTGTAAGGGCAATTAATTGCCATAGAAACAAAATAAGACTGGCATGAAATGATCATGTGATTCAAGCGTGATATATAGTCATATAATCATCATGAGACAATCATAACAAATATATCACCTCAATCTTATCAAGTTACATGTACTTTTATTTATTTTTTCATGTGTACTTGGTTTAAGCTTATAATGTCTGTTTGTAGTAGTTAAATCTCTATTTATCTTTTGAATTTTATATATTCACAAATAATTTACACTGGAAGTTATCATTGCAATCTGTGTTTTCCACTGATCAGTTACGCGTGAGAACTTGATGTGATTGTAAATAGTGTGGTTTAAATTATTAAATTGTAAGACACAGAATAAAGAGTGGAGAAAGCTTAAAGGAACTCTATAGGCAGGAATTGCAGTTCAGGTCCCCAGTTCCTGTCTCCATGGAGATGAAAGGTTTAAAACTTACGTTTTGATTTTTGAATCTGAATGATCTCAGCCAATCCAACGCTTTCCCATAGGAAAGCATTGGAAAGCTATGGTGCATGTGTAGCAAAACGTTGTGCCAATAAACCTCTCCTCATAGAGATGCACTGAATCAATGCATCTCTATGGAGAACGTTCAATGTATCCACTCTCTGCATGGAGATGCTGAACACCAGTGCTACACACTGTGCAGCATTGACCCAGGAAGCACCTCTAGTTGCCGTCCTGAGTAACTGCAACTAGAGGTGTAAATAGGCACCAATGTAAACCCTGCCTTTTCTCTGAATATGCAGCATTTATTGCATGTTTCTGCAGTTTTAGCACTGTAGACACCAGAACTACTACATTAAGTAATGGTTATGGTGACTACAGTGTCTCTTTAAATAGAGGACAGCTAATAGACCGATATACATAGAAAGAAGCTGATTTAGAGGTTGGCGCTTAATTTGGAAGGAACATAGAACGAAGAATGTAATATACATTGGGGAATGTGATGAAAGGGGGAGAGTAGGGGAAATAGAGAAAAGAATGGTCTTAAATGGGAACAGTGGACAGTGAAGTTGTAAACACAGGGCAAAGTTGAGAAAAGGGTAAATTAAAATGGCATCAAAAATGTTTTATAGATTGTTCAAGGTTTAATAGTTTGTTTTGTTTTTTGAAGATTGGACAATAAAGTTATACAATAACCAATCAATTAAAAAGAATAATCACCCCACCTAAAACATGTCTTGTTTTTAATTGAATCCAAACAGAACTGTAACATTGGGATAGATTAATGTATTTTCTAACATGAAATTCTACTGGCAATAAAAATATATTTATACCAACAATATCAATCCTTATGTTTTTATAGCATAAATCATAGCATCTCAGGTGGGTCCTACGCTAACATTTCACCCTGCTTCCTTGAGCTTCTGGCAAATATATCTCTAATGAGACAGACAAGGGTAAGGGGGGCTGATGTGTACTATGGAGTAATGGACAGGGCCGCCATCAGGGCATGACAACCATAACGGTTGACACTGGCCCGGAGGTCCTGGGGGGCCTGGACTGCTCTGGCAGTCCCGGGCCCCACTTTCCCTCTCTGCATACATAGATAGCGAATATCGCTATATATGTGTGCAGCCGCGGGCCCCCGGCTCCCTGTTACCGCAGAGGGGGCCCAGCAGACTGTCTCTACTCTTCTCTCCTCTCTTCTAATAACTCTTGCGATACCCGCGGCCTTCTGAGCGTTGCCATGGCAACGCTCCGCGCGGCAAGCAGGCCGCGGGTATCGCGTGAGTTAGTAGAAGAGAGGAGAACAGGCAGTGTGCTGGGCCCCCTCTGCGTTAACAGGGAGCCGGGGTGTCCCCCATGCCCCTGGACCACCAGGGATGGAATCTCCCCTCTCTCTGGACACAGGTAAGAAGCAGGGAGGGGGGAGAAACATTTAATTAAATTAATATAAAATTAAAAAATGAATGTGAAAATGCCCCTTCCTCTCCTCCCCCAGATTGCACATTTACACACACTGCATACACTAACATGAACACAACACACACACTGCATACACGAACAACACACACACACTGCATACACTAACACAACACACACAATGCATACACTAACACAACACACACAATGCATACACTAATACAACACACACTGCATACACTAATACAACACACACACTGCATACACTAACACAACACACACACTGCATACACTAATACAACACACACTGCATACACTAACAACACACACACTGCATACACGAATACAACACACACACACTGCATACACTAACACAACACACACACACTGCATACACTAATACAACACACACTGCATACATTAATACAACATACACTGCATATACTAATACAACACACGCACTGCATACACTAACACAACACACACACTGCATACACTAATACAACACACACTCTGTATACACCAATACAACACACACACTGCATACACTAACACACACTCTGAATTCACTACAATAACACACACTCTGCATTAACTGTACACACAGCATCCACTACAAAAACATCCTGTATTCACAGTACACACACTACATCCACCACAAATTGAAACACTCTGCATTCACTATACACAGACACTGCGTCTAATACACACACTACATCCACTACAGACACTGCATCCACTAAACACATTTCATCTAGTACACACAAACACCACATCCACTACACAAACACACACATCACTGTACACACACTACATCCACTACTCAAACACACTTTGCGTTCACTATACACACTGCATCCGCTACACAAACACACACTCTGCATTCACTGCACAAACAGTATCTAATACACACAGACACTATATCCATTACACACATTCTAATTCACTTCCACTATACACACAACATTCAGTCCTGCATCATTGTCAGCGGACTAGGTAGGGCGTGGGCGGGCCCGGGGGGAGAAGGGGGATGGAGGGGGATGGTGTGAGGAAAGGGGAGGGGGGGGTGCAGGGGGGAGGTGGGCCCAGACCTTGTGCTTTGTCAGAGGCCCCAAAATTTCTGATGGCGGCCCTGGTGATGGGACTTGTTTTTTTGTATTTATAAGTCATAGCATGCGAGCTCGGCTCCATGCCCCCCCTCTTGTGATAGTCATATACAAACAAAAGACAACAGAGATTATTACTGCCATTCTCACAAACATTCCAGTGAAGGAGTTAAGCACATATGCAAAGAACAAATGAAAATTTTATATTTTGAGCATTGGCAAATTTTAATTATAAAATCCCATTTACTTGACATTTAAATATAATCTACTATTTAGCCACCATATCCTTATTATCACATGTGGCCAAAGCATGTCTAAACTATTAGAGCAAAAATGAATTACCATGCAGCTGTGTAAATCTCTTTCAAAATGAAACACTGTCTACACTCTATTCTCCAGCGATTTGTAATATCCTGACAATGAGTTTAATTATTTCTGAAATGGACAATTGCGATTTGAGGGAAATTCTTAGAATTACATTAGAACTTCTCTGGGATTGCGCAATTTTAGCTAAAAAATAAAATAAGGAGAAATGTTGCAGTGTGTTGTTCCTTTGCAGTCACATGAAGTCTGGGACCCCTCTGATAAATATATTGCACTGTTCTCTTACTGAACTCCGATAATAACAGCTGCGGCAATTGGGGAAAAAAATTCCTGGAAATAAAAACAATAAATGTATTGTTGGTATGAATTCATAAAACAGATTTATTTCATTACATATAACTGAGAATTTTATTTTATCAATATAGGAATTTAGAGCCGGTAAATTATCTTGTGTGTAGCGTCTGAAAAGAAATCTGTAGGTATTAAACTTTTACCAGACTGCCTTTATTCTGAGCTTTAATAGTTTTTTGCTTGCCTGTTCTTGATGTTCATAACTTTAGGTATGCAGATTTTACTTTACAATGAAGAACTCTAATAAAACACACTGTTTTGTGTTAAAGGTGTGTGTGTGTAGTTTTTATCTTTCATGACACTGTAAGAACACAAGTTGTAGTGCTGGTCTTTGTATAAAAAAAACAAAAACATTAATTTCATTGCACTTTAATATTTATATTATTTTTCATCACCGCCAAAAACTATAATATTTGTAAATTTTTTTTTTTTTTTTTAATCCTACAATGCATTTATTTCAATTAATTAATGTGTATGTTAGACACCGCACAAAGAAAAATTCCTTTGCTACTTTCTACAATCAATGAATAGCAATACAATAGTTCCATCAAGTTTACTATCCTAGGGTGGTTACAGTATTTTAGCCATTTGCTATCTGAGGCAGCACTAAAAATGTTGAACCTATATATATTTCAGCTGGCAATAACAAACAAAAAAAAAAGATAGTTCTTGGGAACAACAGTCTCACAGTCCTTGATTCATTGATTTAATTAATATTACTTATGATATTTAAAGGACTACCCTAAGCACCAAGTGGTCATGGTGGTAGGAGTCCACATGTGCAACCTTTATACTTGAAAATGTGCACGTATGATCACAAGGCCACCTAAGACGTTCCTAATTTGCAAAGATTGGCTACAAAAACTAGAACTATACAATTAATATTTGCTCTAATGCCCCGTTGCGTGAACAAATGAAATATAGAATTATAATAATCTTAACTCGCTACTCCAAATACCTGTGATTAGTTTCTCCTGGCTCTGGATGGTTTATGTTGTTTGTGTTTGTATTGTTTTTTAGATGTAATAATGGTGTCATCACACAGTATCTTAGTTTGGATAATTTGCTCTATGCGCTGTTGTTTGTTTTTACATATCGAAGGTCAGTGTATGGTCTTTTAGATGTGTTAAAAAATAATAAAGTTATTACCGTATATTCTCGAGTATAAATCAACCCGAATATAAGTCTAGCCCCCTAATTTTATCCCAAACTGGGAAAACGTATTGACTCGAGTATAAGACTAGGGTGGGAAATGCAGCAGCTACTGGTAAATTTCTAAATAAAATTAGATCCCAAAAAAATTACATTATTTATTTTACATGTAATGAATGTAGTGTGTGTGTGTATATAATGTAGTGTGTGTGTGTGTGTAGTGTGTGTGTGTGTGTATGAATGCAGTGTGTGTGTGTGTATGAATAAAGTGTGTGTGATGCAGAGTGTGTAACCTTGGTGGGGGGGTGGGCATTTTTATTAATTTTTTTATTATTATTTTAATATTAAATTCTGTGTTTTTTTTAAATATTATTTTTATTTTAATATTTTTTTTTATTATATTATTATTTAAATTTGTATTTATCATTTTTTGCCCCCCCTCCCTGCTTGATACATGGCCAGGGAGGGGGATCTCAACCTTGGTGGTCCAGTGGCATGGGCTGTCAGGGGGGCTGGCAGGGGGGCTGGCAGAGAGCTGTTACCTTTCCTGCAGCTCTTGTCAGCTCCCTTCACCTCTGTGCCGGTCAGCTCCCTTCTCCTCCACTGTAAGTCTCACGGAGCGTTGCCACTGTAACCCGTGGCAACGCTCTTACCCCGCGGCTCCCGTGAGACTTACAGTGGAGGAGAAGGGAGCTGACCGGCACGGAGGTGAAGGGAGCTGACAGGAGCTGCAGGAAAGGTAAGTAAACGCTTTCTGCCAGCCCCCAACAGGACCGCCGGGCTTGTAATGAGCCCGGCAGTCCTGGTCTGTATTACGGCCACGTAAGTTGCCATAATACAGACAGTGACTCGCGTATAAGACGAGTGGGTGTTTTTCAGCACAAAATATGTGCCAAAAAACTTGTCTTATACTCGAGTATATACGGTAATTTTTTTTTAAAAAAGGAAAAGTTTCACATACTGAAATATTACCTTTTTATACTGGTGGCTAGTTGACTAGTTGCACCCCTGGCATAGTGACGTGGGCTGCCTAATGTGAATTCTATGCATATATTACTTCTGTCACAACAATCCTTCCTTTCTCTGTGTCTGAGCTTTCAGCTGATTTTAATGATCAGCTCCTTCATTAATGTTGCCTCGGTTACTTACAAGATTGTAGTAACCAGCCCTGCTGCTAATCAGTGCAGCCTATTTAAGCAGCAAGTTCCAGTACCTCCTTGCCCTTGCATGGTTTCCGGTTTCCCAGAAGGCTCCCTGTTTCCTAAATTCTGGCCTTGTTCCTGACTCCGCTGCTGTCCATTCTCCTGATCCTGGCTAGTCTGACTACCCACTCTGCTGCCTGATCCCTGCTTGTTTCCTGGACTTTGCTTTTGGTTATTTCTTTATTTTCTATTTATAATAAAGGTGTTTTGCATCTAGTTCTGTCTCTGTCTGGTTCCTGGTCCCTAACATTATATAAGGGCCATGAATACAGATGGTACAGGCAATCCACCTATACCTAACCCATTTACTCGGTGGGACCAGCAGAACCACCGTTTGGACCAGTGTGCGCATGCATTCCAGACCCTCCTGATTCGTACTGCACATCTGGATCCAGCACTCGACCAGCCTGCGACTGTGGCCGCTCTGCCTCACTTCCTGTTCTAGCACCGGTTGTAGCCTCTGAAACTGTTGCGGCTAGAGGAATGACTGGGTCTGTCTCGCTTCCTCAGTATTTTGGGGGCAACCCAGCTCAGTGCAGAGGATTTTTAAACCAGGTTGGAGGATACTTTGAAATGGTTCCCCAGGCATTTCTTACTGACAGAAGCAAAGTTGGATTCATGGTTTCTTTGCTGTCTGATAAAGCTGTAGCTTGGGCAAATCCTCCCTGGGAGGCAGAGAGACCCTTTATGTACAATTACCCTGAATTTGAGGTGTCCTTTAAGAGGGTATTTGATATTCCAGCTCACTCCCCCTCTGCTGCCAAACAATCCATGTCTAATGCACAGGGCACGAGAACAATTGTTGGCATTCCAGTTTATTCCATACCCTGGCAGCAGAGGGTGGCTGGAACAACGAGACTCTCGTGGCTGCCTTTTCACATGGGCTCTCCAATGATATTAAGGATGAGATTGCAGCCAGAGAATTACCTAAAGATCTAGAGAAACTGATATCCTTTGTTATCCTTCTTGATATCAGACTCCGAGAGAGATCCTCATTCAGGGAGCGCCAAGCTTTTCTTCCCCAGCCAAGCCTCCCTCACCTCCCATGCCTCCTGGTCCTGAGTCCTGTGGCGGTGTGGAGCCAAGGCGGTTAGGCTTCTCACGCCTCTGTCGAGGAGAGGGCCATTAGGAGGAGGGAAGGCCTGTGCCTATGCTCGGACACCAGGGTCACCTTTTTAAGTCTTGCCTGAATCGTCCATTAAAATGCAATGCATTCGTCCAGGAAAATGCAGGGACAGACCTTGGGTGGCCTTTCCGCATCCCCAGAGATCTATAAAGACAAACCCTTGGTTCCTATTGTCCTCTCCTGGCCTGATTATCCGTTAATATCCAGGCATTACTCGATTCTGAGGCTGCAGGCTTGTTTATAGACAGTGCCTTTGCATCAGAGCACGCTATACCCTTACAGCCTTGCATCGCTCTGCTAGCGTTCGAAGCCATCGATGGCAGACCACTACAGCCTACCCACGGAAGTCATGAGACCGTGCCCATACCATCTAACCTGACTACCCGCTCTGGTGCCTGATCCCTGCTTGCTTCCTTCACTTTGCTTCTGGTTATTTCTTTATTTGCTATTTATAATAAAGGAGTTTTATTTATGTGGACCTATGATAATAGGAAAAAGGCAAATTAGCCACATGACTTAGAATAAGGTTTTATATTCCATTAATCGAATTTCGTACCATGACAACTCACTAATTTCATTTTCAATGAGGATGGCTCCAGAGGGATTTATAAAAGATATAACAGTTTATGTATATGTCAAATATTTTTGTATCTTTTTATAAGCACCACAATCTCACATGTACCAGACTGACCATTTTTATAGTGGACACGTGCAATCTGTGTACATCTTATTGAAGATCTGTGCCCTATCCCTCAATCCAAAGGCCCATGACAATCACAGACATAAAGCCCCATCAAATCATGTGCTGAACAGCTCAGGATATAAATGTCATATGATTTCCCATTTTAATCTGTAAGTAAAACTAATATTCAAACAAGAATGAGAATGTGGAATTTCAGAAGGCAATCTTTATGTATTATTAATATGCAGTTTTCTTTCAAATCTAGGTGAGAAATGTCATTATTGGAAGTACAGAATAGCTTTTCTTGGAGTCATATTAAAAATGGTACTTTTTATTATTGCAAACACTACTGCCGTAGATTTAAAATATATGTAATTTTTCATCTTAAAGAATTGCACTGCAGTTCATAAATTCAGCATGAAATAGCCTGAACTTTATACCTTCGTTTAATGAAGCTCTCATGGTATAAAACTAGCAATGTAATGGATGAGTTCCCTTGTTTAAAACTCAGCCATGCAGTGCTGCTGCTTTAAACAATTATAATTTTGTTTACAGCTTTGGATGAAACCCCAGTTCCCATTTTGAGAAATTGTATTCTCAGCTCACGGACCTTCCAGTACTGTGCATGTATAGTTATAAAAGAAAATCAAAATGGATGACAGATCACTCAATTCCACCAATACACTGGGGAAAATAAAAAAATAAAATATACAGGTATTTACAACGTGTGCGGTAAATTACGATTTTCCTTAAAATGTATTTTTGTCAGCATTTTACTTAATCCTATTAATAGAGTACTAAATGGCATGATACTATACATGTTTTGATCCACATAGAACCCAATGTACTTTAATGTTTTTTTGCAGGTTTTTATGACTGACCTATGTAAGCGGCTTTCTTAATTGGGGCGATCTTTGTGCAGGAAGCTGCATAGCCTGGGGATTTACATGAAAAACAATGAAACATTTTTGATTTCTTTTTTAAAAGATTTTTTTTAAATGTATTAATTGCATATTTTAAACGTTGATTTAGAAGAGTGTCAGCTCTGGGTGCCACATTTGTTTTCTATAGACTGTAAATTGTAGAGGTTTTAATTACTTTTATACAAGGTTACTAGTGTGACCCTATTGAGTTTGGATAAAGTAACTGAATGTAGGTTGTGCTCCTAAGATGTAAATTCAATTGAGGCCTGGAATTTTGTTACTCCTGCGCAATAAAAGGAAAGGAAAAGCTGGAGGAATTAAGAAACACTTCAAAAACCTAAAACACTTTAACTTGGTAATGTGCTTTGTGTGTGCAGAGTGCGTTTTTTTTTCTTCTTCTTCATGTTATAAAAAGTTCAGATTTCAATAGAAATTGACATGTTGATAAATTAATTTTGTTATACCCCACTGGCTGTCAATCAATGGCTGGTCCAATTATTTCCTTGGTTGTTGAGCTCAGTGGAGCTTAACTTGAGAGGCAGCAGTTTGTCCAGAGCACCTGCTTTGCAAACACTTTTTATTGAGCTGCATTGGGCAGTCTATGATTAGACAGCTACATAAAATCTGGGCAGTGGAAGATGGGAGGGCTTACAAATAAGGTAAATAGAGATCTGCTGCTTTTGCAAGCTGCTTAGATATACCACCAATGTATTATATTATATGACTACTCTTTATATTACCACTTTATACATGTTTGCAAGCATTTCTGAAATGAACTGTAGAGTAGGGGAAAGAGTTACAGAACATTCTAATTTTCTATAGACTACTAGACATGTACAATTAATTTCATTCCGAATGTATATTCGGAAGAAATTCGTTACATTTGGACATTCGGGGGCAAAACAAGTGGTTAGGGTCCAAATCGCTGTACTTCCAAAGTGCCGAACCAAACCGAATGCCATTGGTCCAAATTGCCAAAGCAGACGCATTTTGTTGCTTACCCGAATTTCCGAACCCAACCAAATTCTTTGTCCATGCAGATCTCTGTAGACTACCAAATGCATGTAAATGCATTGTATGTAACCATTTATCAGATAAAACCTTGGTATTTAACACTCTGCAATTGCAAAATCACCCAATCTCTTTTGTGTTCAAATTCCTATTAATAAGTGCAATGGAATGACATTTTATTTAGAAAATCAAGCAAGAAGTCTACGCTGAAATTGGGGCTAGGGTTAATGTGCACAAGTTTTTAAAAGTACTGTGCAATGAATATGTTTTGCATGTGCTATAAATTCAGCCATTTTAGAAAGGACAAACTAGATTCATGTATATAACAATACTGGACATCTAGACTATGGTGATCATACAAAAAATGTATAAAATATATATGCTCTGGTGTTTGCTTAATGACTTCCTTTATAACAACACTGTTTCACCTTTTAAGGAATGCTGTTTGGGAACCTTTTAGTTGAAGCAATCTAGTAATGTCAGCTGACGGTAATTCAAGAGGCTTTTTTACTGTACAGATAACATACATTCTAAATACAGTAGCTCTTCAGAAAGTCAACAGCTTATAACAGTGTAGACAATTGGCAGGAATGACAATAACAGTATCAGATTCGCTGATCTCATACTGATTTATGATACTAAAATATAGCCTTTAGCAGATTTTGGGCTCCCTTCCGTCTGGGAAGGCTAATGCCTCTCATCTCCTGTGTCAGGACTTGGCTTCAGGGAAGTCTGTTGATGGCTTTTTAATTTGTGTACTAAGGCTGGAACTAAGAGGTTTGAAAGTAGCTCATACAGGAGGTTGGCAGCATGCATAGGTTTATCATACAATTTTGTCCAATGAAGTAAAGTATCGTTTTTTTCGTCACAAAATTATATTTTCGTACTAAACTCTATAATTGGCAAATAGATCAATATGTACAGATATAGCCTCTGTTGTAATTTTGCATTTAACATAAGTTTGATTCTTACCAATGATTCAAAAAATCATGAACTCCGGAGTGAGATTCTGTGTCAAAATTAAAAGCAAAACTGAATTTAAATATTTGTCCAGTTCAGCTACTTTTTCTATAATTTGTAATACACTTTTAACTTACTTTGAATTCCCAACAATTCACACTATACTAATTAATCCTGATATATTTTTAACAGCAATGCAAACTCCATTTTGCTAACAAGAAACTTAAATTCATGAAGATGGGTCTGTCATGTATGCTATACTGAATCATGTGGCAATAGTCTCCATTGAGAGAAATAGCAAGGCATTTCAGATATTAGGTGCGTTAAAGGCTACTCCATGCACAATAACCACTTCTCTGATTTTAATTGGTTGTGGTGCTTGCTATCTGTATGAAAAGCAACAAACACTGATATTAACACATCTGCTAAAAGAGGTGTAACACCACCACCTGCTATTAGATTGGGGTGTCAGCCAAGAACAAGATTTTCCCGGTTGCTAATGTGAATCCTGTGTAAATTAGGCATCTGACAAGGTAAGGTGAGAGATGTCAGCCAAGGAGGGTCGGGTGTTGTCCAGACGAGCAACGGTTACTTTGTTAGTTTGTCGTAGCTTGTCACTTATTTGGCAATAATATCAAAAGGGGAGTGAGAGAAGCTAAAGGTCTTCAGATGACTTTACCTGTAGGGTGATAGGATCATTTATAGTACTTGATACATACATTAAAAAAAAATACAATATTGATTGAGATCAAACAAGCACAGTCAACAATTGATGATTTTGCTTACATGTTTCCATAGTAGACAAGAGTGTAAGTATTAAGACATTTGGTTATTAAAATAATAAAACCTTTTCAAGTCAGCCTTTTTAAAAAGATGTTTCAATGTTAAGAGGTTAGTGCACACACGTTGTAAGGGGAATACTCCCACCAGGGTGCTTCATACCAGGAGGGCCACATTCCCAAGCAGATCTAATAAGAACTAGTACACAAGTCTGGGCACACCAGATAGTTGAAGCAAGCAGTCTGTTAAAAGTCTGGGCCTTTTACAAGGTTGCCGAAACATTATCTTATTTTTATCTTAACGTTATTTTTTCTGTACTCCAAATATTGCATTCTTAAGGAAAGTATCAGGTGTGCACAGACTCTAGTACATGTACAGGTGTTAAAAAGGATAAGGGGAAAGGTTGCCCAAAACAATATTATAAGTAACACGAAAAACTATTGCAACATAGATAGAATAATAAAAATTGTAAAAAGTGGGTATTGTTATAAAAAAATGTCCAGAATAGAGATATAATCTTGCCAGAAGAAATGGTATCCCCACCTAGAATTCTTTGGAGTAGTCCTCACTGGAACAGAATAAAAACTGATGCCAGTCAGTAGAGACGTAAAAGAATAAAATAATAATAAAAGAGTAAAATGGCACGGTATTTTTAATTTTTATCATTCTATTTCTATATTTGCTATATCCTGTTGCCATAGTGTTTCATGTTGCTTATACGCATTAAAATAATGTTGTTTTGGCGCAACCTTTCCCCTTATTCTTTTTTACTATTGTATTTATTCTGTGGTGCTAAGAGGGAGCCCCACATTCTAAGGTGTGCTGCTGTCACGACACTCCTTAGTTGATTTGTCCTCGTGCACTACCCACATTCACCACTATCTTTGTCTGGCACTGTTCCTAATTTCTTTTCATTAAGCACTTCACCTGGTACTTGTTTAGCACCTATATAGTTTGGTTTCTCCCCTCCTTGCCAGATCATTGTCTCTTGTCCTCTGTTTCCCTGGTTCCTGGTTCCCTGTGATTCTGGATCCTTGATCCTGCATACTGTTCCTTTGTCCTGTGTCCTGCACCTCCTGGTCATTGTCCTATGTCCTCCTGATCCTGCGTTCCTGTGTCCTCCTGGTCCTTCGTTCCTGTGCCCTCCAATCCGGTGTTCTGGTTCCGTGTTCTCTGCCTTCTCACCAGTGATCCTGACCCTGCAGCCTTGTTCATTTATTCTGCTAGTGACCTTGATTCCTGGTGCCAGTATATTAGTCTTGTGACTCTGGATTTGTGCCCTACCTACTACTCATGGTAACTGCACAATCCTGCCCTTATACCAAAGGACTGTTTCAGTATACGTTGCCTGCACTATTCGTGCTTATCCTGATTTATTGTATATATTTTGTGGCATTGTATATATATTGTTTTGTTTTGTCTTTTGGTTCTCTGAAATATATATATATATATATATATATATCTTGATTTAACCTATTCATTTGTGGCATTTATTTCTTTGTTGTATTGGTTCCCACATTTAAAGGGACAGTGTTGTTCCAGGGCAGCACCCCTTCATGTCATTACAGCTGCAAATTGGGTTCCTAACATATTAAAGAACCTTAACACCCATGCATGATGATATATGAAGCAATTTCAACTAGATATAAAAAGAGCATAAATCATGCACAGATAATCTTCTTTTTTTTTTTTTAAACATAAATATATAAATACAATAACATTACTTTTAAATGCACAAAACATGCATAGTACATTAATCTTAAACTTTCTAATGCCTACTATTGAGGTGAGAGTTCATTATTTGTTTCCCTTTCATTTGCTTAGTACAATTATTAAGACTACCAACAAAGTAAAGTGAAATTTTTGTTCCAAATCACAAAAGAGTGGCAGGTGCACATAAGTTTATATCAGACTCACACACCTAAGGTATTCTGTGAGTCATGCGTCAAGAGTGTAAGCTTCCTGTCAGCCGCAGGTGGTATTATGGTCCATTAAGACACACCCCGTGAAACATTGTAAGTTACTGGTTATAATGAGTTCTTTGTTATACCAAAAAATAATCATCGTTTAATGTATGCCTTTAGTGTGATTAGAAGTTTATTTTTCTATAGCATATGACAAGCACTCTAGTCAGCCCTGATCTTCAGAGTTCATTCTTGTTACCAAATGAGATCTATTGTTGACTCCTGGGACTGAAATATTAAAGAATGATGGCTCTTTTGTTATTAGTAGATCTTTTGCTTGGGGCCTTAAAGTGATGAATCATAGGTGCATCAATAAATCAGTCAGGGAAATAGACCATTAATGATTGGCTTAACATTTTAGGACAGCAGTGTATATTTAAAAAATAAGAATAAAAAAACTGGTAAAGGCACATCACCTAGTGTTGAACACAACAGAACAAACAATAAATGAAGATAAAAGGTAACTGAATATAGAAAATAATAATCAACATATAGGAGGGCTGCGTCACATACAGATGAGCGACTAATCACTAGATACACAGTAAGAACAAATGTAGGTATGTGAGCGCTCCAAATAAGAATTCATTACCAATTTTGAACTGCACTCCAGAAAACAGCAACTACCATCATATAAAAAATGATAATGATAGCATGGGAAATACCAAATGTACGGGTATATAGATAATTCAAGATTACATAAAAACTGATCAATATAAAATCGTATAGTAAAATATACCGTCAGATTTTAGATCAATTATAGTGTACCAAATGTCAAAAAGAGTATTTGTTGAGCTAATATCAAATGTTAAGACAAATGGGTAAAATCCCGCTATGCCTAAATGACATAACACATACAGACCAGATGGATACAATCGTGCATAACCTTAATAAACGTAAAATCCACAAAATAAGACACATCAGCAGCTACAAAAGTGTCCAGACAGAAAAGTCTAAAACCACAGTGGGGGCCCTCCTGCACTGATGGTAATGTGAAAAAATAAATAAAAATGTGTACACGTGGAGAAAAAAAAAAACAAAAAACAAAAAAATATTATCATAAAAAGGTCACATAAAAAACAAGATGTAGGGTGTATATCACAAATACCCAAATGGACTCACTATCCCGGGGGGAGGGAGCTCTGAAACCCACCAGACAACAAGGTCTCCGCTAATGTTGCTGCAATGGAATAGTCCCCAAGCTTGAAAAAGCTCTGGGGGTGAGCCAGTGAGAGGTTGGGGGAGCACACCAAACTACCCGCCACGAGATAGGGTGTATGTGTCGATCCGGTAGTTGCAATTGCCGGGAATCACTCTCGGGTCGTAAAGGAGACCAAGCTGGAGATGCAGTAAAAACGAACAGCAGATAGTCTACACATTTTGTCCCGTATGAAGTACTTTTTCAAGACTGAAATCTGCTGTACTCTGTATGGGTATATATACCCTCAATTAAATAAATAGTAGTAATGACATCATCAATTAAACATTGTGGGGCATATTGCCTAAATGGTACATTCAACTTGAAAAATAAAAAATGAATAAAAATAGGCAGAAAGAAGAAATCACAATCCTATCACTGGTGAAACAGTAAAAAATATTTTTGTATAAATATCCATCATCCACCACTACCATCAATTTATTTATAGTAAATCTCATGAACCAAACTTCATTCCCTCTGCACCTAGATATGTATCAGAGAAAGGAAGATCTAAAATAGATTATTCCTATTTGTTAGGGTTGTCATAAGGACGATTAATATTGTATTTGAAAAATCAGGTGTAACCACATATATCCATACTAAGTGTAATTGTAATCTAAACAACAACAGAACTATAAGGAGAATATATTGAAGGGGAGACGTCCCGGTCAATACACACATACCTCATTCGCCCATTCACCACCAATTAGTTATATCATATTGACTATCCGAGAAACAACCAGATAGTTCATGATGTATCATATATTCATAAAGGGATGAATTCTAGAGCGAAAAAAAGGATCCTATTATAAAGACCAAAAAAAAAAACAAGGCTTCATTTAGATATCAAGAGGGACCCAACTAGAAGTCAATTTTAGAAGACAGGTAAATTTAAACAATATGCTCTAGTTCCTCATTTAACCCATGAGGGTTAAGGGTGTTAAGTTGGAAGATCCACTTAGTTTCAGCTGTGATGAGGGCTTGTTTTCCTTTGGGAATATTAAACTTGTTATTCTTCTCTGGAATATGTTCAAAACCCATAACTGATATATGTGCAGGGTTGCTCTCATGGGCTAGTTGGAAGTATCTGGCAACTGGGGATTTCCTATCTTTGTTCATAATCGCTAGTCTGTGCTCCCTAAATCTAGTTTTAAGTGCTCTAGTGGTCTGACCTACATATAAAAGTCCACATGAGCACGTCCGCAAGTAGACCGTAAATGAGGTATTACATGTGATCCTCGAATGTACTCTATAGATCTCATTATTAGAGAAATCAGATTTCCCATGGCACAAGAATTGACAAGTTAGACATCTGGTAGAGCCACATGTAAAATTCCCAGATCCAAGAGGGATCGATGTGTTGTGAGGTCCTATCGGAGTGAGTTTGGATGGAGCTAACAAATTTTAAAGGTGTTTATTTCTCCTAAATGTCACTCTGGGTGATCCCGAAATACTAAACTTCAGCCAAGGGTCCAATAATAGGATTGACCAATCTTTTTGAAGGATAGAAATAATCTGATCAAATGCATTGTTGAATATTGTGGTAAATATGGGACCTTTATTTTGAGTAATATCCTTTGTACTGATGCTGAATTTGTTCCAGAGCTTTTTCCTCCTTTCCGGGGTTTGGTTATCCAAAAGTGATACAATCTCCCTATGTTTGGCCGATGTAGGTGGTGATATAGTCAGACCATACTCATCAATAAGAGATACAATGCGCGAGCTCCTGTTGAGGTTTCTTGCTTTGCAGTAAGCCGGACGAAACCTAGCAAGTAGAAAATAATCTTTAAAATACTTTCTAAAGTATCCTTTTCATATATTTGACACTTTAGAATGTGAATATACAAATACAACAAATATATCAGCTCAGCATGGCGGGGCTTGTTTATTAAATAATGAATTGTGGAGAATTTAAAATTGATTTGGAAAATTGGGACTAAAATGAAACGTGAGCTGAATTGGAGATTTTTTGTAGCTCTGCTATTTAAACCTGAAATTTGCAGTTTGAAATTTTATATCACTACAATTCATTACTTGGTGGAAAAAAAAATATTTGGTACCTTGTTGCACCCAGGACATACTTGAAAACGATACTTGCTGGTCACTCTAATCTAGTGCTCCCCGGGCCAGTGCACCCTAACCCTAAGGTGGCCGCCTGTGCCACCTTATGGATGCGCTGGCCCTGAGTGTGACCATCTCTATAAAAGCCAAAGTTTTTGCAGTTTGCTGTCTAGAGCACTCAGGATTTTATGTCCCGATATGTAGATGTATTATTCAAAGAGGGTGTGATTTATTTTTCCTATAACTGTAGATAATATACATAAATCAATAGGCATTGCAACAGATGAAAAGTTTACGCTAATGTTCAAAATACTTGAAAAGGTAAGTACTCATGAAATATGTTGTTTACTTAACGTCGAGGCAGAAAAGTAATCAGACCCTCTTTAGTAACTTTGAATGGTCTTTTGAGACATAAATTGTCGTAAAGGAAATGTATATCTAAAATGTGCACTGAGGAGTTTGTTGATATATTCGCTCTGCTAATCTAAGTATTAAACTGTATTGAAAAACAATTACATAATGTCCTATTTTATATGCATGTTGTGTAATTGCATTGAGTTTAGTTTAATGGCAATATTGGAAGCAATGTTGCAGTTTGAATGATTCCCTAGAAAAATCTGGCAATAGATATTTTACTCATTAAGGCTTTAATTTCCTCTTTAAAGTGCCTTAAATTGATTATTTAATAGAACTCCCCAATACTATAATAAATATATTGAGCTTTATTGTACATTCTTAACTGTGCCAAGTGTGAAGGTCCAACAATAAGTACAGGACCGGAGTTCCATTAAGTAACAATACATTTTAAAACTTCCTGTTGAATCACAGAACAGCCTTAAAAATGTCTGCAATTCGTAAAACTGTTACAAAATAAGAAAAACCACAGACTTGAGTGCTACTGTCTCAGTAATGGACTTTCAGTAATAACAAAATAATAACTAAATGTAGCTGATTTGTCTTTGGCACGTATTAATATTCTTATTCGTATGGGAAAAACACGAAAAAACATAGATGTAGAGAATCCGGGTAAACATTTGGAATAATTTGTTTTCATTTTTATAGCATGTGAGTGGACTTCATGAATGGATGGGTGCAGGGAGACTGGAATTAATTTCGGTTAATCGGGCCAACCAGAGGCAACAATACAGTTGTCAAATCGGCTATATTGGTCTAAAATTTGCAATTTATGTGTCAGTGCTCCAAAATTCCAACAAGCTCCTAGTTGGACACTGACCAACAAAAGAGTTGTCTTCTAAGATCTCTGGTTCTCTTTAGGGTACATTATGATCTGTATGTCTTGGAGTCATGCAAACATCAGGTCAGCCAGATAACGTCTGGAGGGCCTAGGTTGGGCCAATAAGATTTAAAGGCTCAAAGGGGATGGTAACGAAGTTGGATGATTGCGTGGAATGAAAATGATTTCTGAAATAATTCTTGTACCCTTCCCAGTTTAATATTCAGAAACAAACCCAGGAGATTTTAAAATGAATATGCTATTTATCTGGTGTTTCACAGCAAGCAGAACAAAATATGCATTTATCTAGAAGATGTCAGCCAATAGCAATGAACCATTGACCTTCCAGGGGTGGAAGAAGCAATTACAAGGACTGCGGGGCTAGGCAATCCAGTTGTGACTTCATAGGCTACCATCAGCTTTTAAAACTGGACTTGGATAAAATGTATTTCTTTCTTCTGTAATTCCATCCAGTAGGAGTGGGAGAATGTTTGTGTCCGCTCCAGATACTAACCAAAAGCACATATCCATCTGTCTGCTCTGACTGCAGAAATATGCTCAATTTAATAAATAACAATGTTAAGGGTGTGTGGCTTATGCGAAAGAGCATATTTTTTACTTTTCATTTACTGCTCTGGTATGAGAAAGTACTTATTATATTATATCCCCTGGCTTTTCATCACAAACCATACATATTCAGCTTTGCCATTTTTTCCCCAGACAGATTTTGTTAAAGACTTTGCATCGTTTTAGTAACCCTTCATTTTATAGTTCATGTATTAATGTCTTATTGGAGATAGCTATAAGCTTTAGTTACCAGAGCATGTTATGTGACATGAGAACTATTTCATGCTTTTAAGAACCTATTTGTGTTCTGCTTGTATTGTGTTCTTGTTAAAGTGCACCTGTCATTCACAGTCATTCAAAGCCTACTTTGCATAGAAAAAGGATATATGCATTGTTCGAGCCTATCTGACAGAAGTGGATGAATGAAAAACATAGTGATGCAAAGTTTGTACACTTAGTGGTGAGTAAGTGCATACACATACAGACATATTATCAATGCCATTAGAGCTGCTTACCTGTGCAGTGTGATATGGACCTCTAGTCTGACTATATTAACCCCTTAAGGACTGGACTGTTTTTGCGATGTTGTACATTTGCGACCAGGCATATTTTTACACTTTTGTGGTGTTTGTGTTTGGCTGTAATTTTCCGCTTTCTCATTTACTGTTCCCATACAAATTATATATTGTTTTTTTCAGGACAAAAGGGGCTTTCTTTACATACCATTATTTATATAATCTCATGTATTTTAATTAAAAAAAATAAAAAATATGATGAAAAATTGAAATAAATACATGTTTTTTGACTTTTACTTGAAAAATCTTTTACTCATCTACAAAAGCGAATGAAAAAAACTGCTAAATAGATTCAAAATTTTGTCCTGAGTTTAAAAATACCTAGTGTTTACGTGCTTTTTTGCTTTTTTTTGCATGTTATAGGGCTATAGGTACAAGTAGGATATTGCGGTTTCAAAACATACATTTTAAAATTTATCAATAGTGACATTGTAACACTATTATCTGTCATAAATCTCTGAATAACACCCCACATGTACATATTTTTTTTAAAGTAGACAACCCAGGGTATTCAATATGGGGTATGACCAGTCTTTTTTAGTAGCCACTTAGTCGAAAACACTGGCCAAAGTAAGCATTCATATTTGTTTGTGTGTGAAAAAAGTAAAAAAACTAAATTGAGCGCTAATTTTGGCCAGTGTTTGTGACCAAGTGGTTACTAAAAAAGACTGGACATACCCCATTTGCAATACCTTGGGTTGTCTTCTTTTGCAAATGGTATGCCATCATGGGGGTAATTCTCATTCCTGGGCTACCATACGCTCTCAAAGGCAACGTAACCAACCTGGCCATTTTCAATGTAAAAATATTTGACCCATATATTTGACCTGGTAACTTTCAAAAATGCTATAAAACCTGTACATGGGGGGTACTGTTTTACTCGGGAGACATCGCTGAACACAAATATTAGTGTTTAAAACTGGAAAACGTATCGCAACAATTATATCATCAGTAAAAGTGCTGTTTGTGTGTGAAAAATGCAAAAAAAGTAACTTTCACTGACAATATCATCACTGTGATATGTTTTACTGTTTTGAATCACTAATATTTGTGTTCAGCGAAGTCTCCCGAGTAAAACAGTACCCCCCATGTACAGGTTTTAGGGTGTCGTAGAACGTTACAGGGTAAAATACAGTGCTAACAAATTAAATTCTCTGGAATTTCGGCCTGGGTTGGCAGGCAGGTCCCTCAAATTGCAATCAATAAAATTACTGAATTATGTAAAAATATTACATAAATACGCACGTAAAATTTAAATATATATGCATATTTATATATTTGAAGTCTACGTGTATATTTATATAATTATTTATGTAATTTTGTATATGGACGTATGTATATTTCTTATTATTTTTATTTATTTTTATATACATAGATATATATATACAAATTCATCTAAGTGTATTTTGATATAAATATATATATATTAATTTTAAAATACAGTTAGAATAAAATTTCATATAGCTATATAATTTTTTAAATTTTTTTATTATTATTTACAAAAAATTATTTAATTTAAATTACTTATTATTTATATTTTATAATAATATATATACAATATAGTTATTATATATATTATATATATACGTGTGTAATTTAATTATAAGTGTATTTTTATATTAATATAAGTACATATTAATATAAAAATACACTTAGTATGGCATTATATATATGATATATAGACATATATTATATAGATATAATATATGTCTATATATCATATATACACATATATAATTATTTATTTATTTTTTATTAACATTAACTTTATTTTATTTTTTGATTTTACACTAGCAGGGAGACTGCCTGTCAGTGCAGGCAGACACATGGACACCTATTGTGACCATGTGATCGCTGTGTTAAGCGATCACATGGCCACAGGGGTCCTAATTCAGTGTGGGGAGACTGTCTCCCCACAGCCGGAGCCACGCTGATCGCCGCCGGGGGAACGACGGCGATCAGGTAAGTAACGGAAACCGTTAGGACGGTTCAGGACCGTCATCGGTCCTCAAGGCAAAAATGCCGATGACGGTCCTGAACCGACCTCGGTCCTTAAGGGGTTAACATGCACTGATTATTCCTACACATTTGTAATCTGAAATTATCAAAATTGCTAGGGTTTTCTGAGTCTACTATGTTTTAAACTTGTAGCCTCTTGGAAAGAGCATAGTTTAGTAGAAATGGGGCCTTGACAGGGCTTGCAGGCAGGTATAGGTGGAGCAGTACCAGGATTGGTAAATTGTGGCTAGGCTGGTGGGTGCATATATATAGGGGCAGCCATCTTAGGATAGTCAATTTAATTTGCTCACCAGCATGGATTTGTCCCTCTCAACCTTAGGGAGTTGGGTTGTTTTGTTTCTGTCTCGCTTGGTCACAGCAGCGGGGCTGGTAAGGTGAAGGAAAAGGGGGGCATAGGAGCTTTGGAGTTAAAAAAGGAGAAAGGGGTAGGTAAAACAGAGTGGTGAAATAGAATTGGGGTTATACAGTTGGTTATGGTATTTGGAGGTTTTGAGTCCGTCGGTGGCTCAGAACTTTTGGGTTGTGGGAGTATCCGGGTATACCCTCACCACTGGTCTGTTAAGTAAAATATTTGCACTTTATTGGTTACGTGTTAATTATGTTCATTAAAAGCTGTGGACCAGGGGGGGCGGAGCCTAGATTCCAGGCTGAGTGGATGTGCCAAGACCAAGCTCCTGCACAAAATACATGATTTCAGGGGAAATCACCCCAAATAATTGGCGCAGGACCACTTTGGAGGGCTATAGTTGTACTGGGGACACCTGGGTACACTCTTGGACACCCAAATCTTCTTTCTAACCACCCGGGAACCAAAATTACGTCGGCTGAGGCCTACAGGAAAGCGAGCAGGGGGAGAGACCGCCACTCTCCTCCCTTGTTACCTGGTACAGGAATACCTCAACCCTCAACTCTCCTACCCCACCCACCTCCCTGGGGATATCCCAGACCTCCCTGTGTGCCCGGAGCAACCTGTCTGAACCGACCCCTACACAGCGTGTATGCACGCAGACTAGATAGAATCATGCATTTTAGTTGACCGCAATAGGCTATCACAACCAGCATGATCAAACAAACCTAATTTCCCTAACAATACTCGACATATTCACTTCGCTTAACATACAAGCCGTTTGGGAAAAATCCATAACTGTATATCTAACTTTGACATAACTAAATAATCAGACGACCAAGCTTGCAATCCATATGTTTTCCCTCTCTGTCACTCCTCTGATTATTTCTCCTACTTTAACTATTACAACAGCTGGGGTACCTCAAGCCTGTTTGTACCAAGCTTATGCACTGCAAAAAAATTTTGAAAAAATAAATAAAAATTAAAAGAAAGCTGTGGACCAAATTTTTCCATACATAGTAGTGTTGTGTCTTATTCAGGGGGGTTGGGTGATTGGTTCGCGAAGTACAGATTCACCTGCCCATATGGCAACACTGCACCTCTCATGACTATTAAAGTCTAAAATTCCTCATAAATTCTCTTTGAATTCGATGTGGATTCACACTTTTGTAACAAAAAAGACCTAATTGACATCTCTTGATAATTGTAAAAAAGACTCTTTCTAAAGTCTAAACAATGCATGTAAGGCTTCTCATAATATAAACGTATGATAGAATTGCAAGTAGAAACCAATGGCACAGTGGCAGAATAGAAGTTATTTTATATGTTTTGTAAAGTAGAATACTCTCGAATTATTGAGCACCAATTAATTCATGTACTGTAAATGTGAATGGTGGAGTCCACACCAGAGATACTCCAGGACACAGGATACCGGAACAAAGTAAAATCCAATCTTTTATAAGGTAAAAAGGCCAAAAACCTCTATATAAAAAAAAAGAAAAAAATCTAAAAATACAGTTAAGTAAAACACGGATGTATTTCACTACAAGCTCTCTCAAAGTGTTAGGACTGTGTGGGATCTATTGTAATATATACACTACTCTATATTCAGCTACTGCACCACTGGTTTCTCCTTGCAATTCTATTTTGCATATACACTGGGAGTTACTATCATTCAAAACCTCCACCAGAAAGCCACGGTTTGCACATTACCCTATAATACTTTGAGTATGTATCCTACATGTTATGAGACTATTAGTACAGAATGCCTTAGTGTATGTATAGGTTTGACTGGTAGTTGTTACACTCTAGATTTAGTGTGGTTTGCGCTGATTTTTTTTCTGTCTTGCTTATCACAAGGTGTTGGGCTTGCTGCTGTACTTTTATTTTTATACAAACACAAAGATAAAGCACCGCGCAGGTAACGTTCTCTTTGTTTTTAATTTTATTTTTATATATATTTTTTTTTGTTTTATACAAGGCTTCGGCCCGAGAGTCAAACCGTTATACGGATCAACTTCTGTCTGCAGAATACTTTGATAATACAGTAGCTTAAAAGAGGATATTTAACTAGTACCAAAATCTTAATATGTTTTAAATTACTTTGCTATGAGCATTACAACGTTACAAAGTACCATACATTAATATATGCTACACCTTATAAAATGTAAATTTTTCATGATATTAAATATTTTACATACTATAGTGAAATTGAGTTTGATTTTTAAGTACAAATCACTTATTTAAATATGCTCTTTTTTCTAACTCCAACTGAACTGGTGCTGAATAAAAGTATTTGTGCTGTGATTTATTGACTTTCCCTATAACCGAACCTTTATATATCTTAGGTGACGCGTTAAGAGATCTGCACATTTATTTATGTCTATCTCTGCCTTTATAGTCACTCTAATGTTTAAGCAAACAAGTGAAATGATAGTTTAGCAGGGCCATCTTTAATATTGATTGGACCCTGGGCAAGCATCTGTTTGGGCCCCCTGGGCATGCAATCACTCCCTCCACCCCAACCTAGAGGAGAAACTAATGTAGAGAGTGCCTCGGTGCAACAAAAAAAAATTCAGGCCTGCCCTGTAGCACAAGAGTAAAGAAAAGATAGATCCCCATCTGTCATACAACTCCTGCGATGCTATGCCAGCTGGGGATCTACCATCCTTGCAGGGTTGTATTTTTGAGCAGTGTTTGTGCAAATGAATGTCAGCATGTTATTGTATAGAGTGTATGTGTGCATGTAGGAGTGTATTTGTATGTACTGTTACCATTGGAATGCAGTGGTGTACTTGTGTGTAGTGTTTGCATTTTAATGCAGGGATGTGTGATTGTTTGTAGTGTTGGCTTTTAAATGCAGGTGTACTTTTGTGTGTAGAGTTGGTGTTTGTATATAATTTTAGCGTTTTAATACAGGAATGTGTTTGCATGTAATGTTTGTATTTGCATGCAGGGGGATGTTTGGATGTAGTGTTGTCTTTTAAATACATGTGTACATTTGTGTGTAGTATTAGTGTTTCAGCAAACTGGTGTGTTTGTAAAGTTTGTGTTTGCAGGGGTCTGTTTGCATGTTGTGTGATTTCTATAACACATATACACATACACATTAACACGCAGATACACACATGCTCACACTGACACATGCTCACACCTTGACACATACTGGCACATACACATACACACACACTCAGATACACACCCTTTGACACACAGATACAAGCACTTTGATATACACACACTGGCACATACACACACACACTGACACAGGTATATACACACACACTCAGATACACACATACACAAAGGTATAAATGCAGGGGTGTATATGTGTACAGTGCTAGAGATGGAATGTAGGAGTGTAGTTGTGTTGGCATTAAAATGCTGGGATGTATGCATTACCACACACTCAGATGCACACTTACACACACACTGAAACACACACACAGGTACACATACAGGTGTATGAGGTATACATACACACAGAAACACTGACACACAGACAAACACAGCCAGATACACACAAGGACATAAACACAACAAGATACACACACATATATGTGTAAATTTACATATTTTAATCTCTGCCTTCTAGCAGCTCTTGGACAGCAACTCCCAGCAACCTTGGCCAATATAATGTCTCAACTCTGTTCTTACATACCCTGGTCCAAAATTTGGCAAAAGTGACATTTGAAAATGGTGTACAGCCTTTGATAACACTTAATGCAATATGTTAAAATAGATACTTTTTAAATTTATATTTAATAGGGAACTGTCAGGTTCTTCTAGGATTTTTAACATGTACTTATTCCCTGTGTGTTACATTACAAACACCAACACACTTAAATAAGTGATATCAGAAATTAGCAAAACAAAAAACAAAACATATTTAGCCACCCTCCTGTCTCCTTACATTTTGGGTACAGAAAGGTGGCTTCCCTGGTGTCCAGTGAGAGCTTGCTGGCCCAGGCTGATGGGAGTCTGCCATCAGCTTTCTCAGTCCCTCTCCCCAACAATGCTTGCATCCTCCTCCATGTGGTGTGTGCCTCCTCCCCAGCGGCACTGAGGAGGAAGTGATCAGTTCTTACTGGGAGGAAACAATCTGACCTCACTTCCTCCCAGCATGCCCAGGAAACAAAGAGACTCACAGGGCAGTATGTGAGGGGCTAGCTGTGAGTATGTAGTCAGCCACCCCCCATATAACAGGGGCCCGGGCCGGTCCAGAGCAGTATTAAAGGGCTGTGGCCCCTGATTACCTCAGGTGCCGCAGGGGGCCCATGGGGCAGCTGCCTTAGGGCCCCCAGGAGTAACTGGGCCCGGGGCAGCTGCCCCTTTTGCCCCTCCTTAAAGACGGCCCTGTAGTTTAGTAGTTGAGGAAACTGCTCTCTGCCTGAAACAGTGATTTTCATAAAACTTTCTTGATTTGTCTTTAAAAAGAAATTACAAATGCAAAAATTCTTATGTTAATATAAGCCTACGAAAATACTCTAGATTTATAAAACCCTTTAAAAAAATGATCACCAGTCAGACATTGACGGTGAGACCAATAATATCACATTGTCACACCTCCTAAATTTGCACACATAAACAGGTATTTGTTCTGAAGAGTGTTACTACTTTCTTTAAGCCTACAAAAAGTTTATTATCAGCACTCCTATGGCTCCCTCAAAGTCACCCCAGGTCTGTGTGCTCCGGGTGTACTAGTAGAGTAGTAATTACTTACTGATTATTGGTATTTCTAGATAAAAACTTACGTTGGACTTGATCTCTCTCACTTATGTAGTTATTGAACTTGTGAATTATCCATATCCATTACTCACGATATGAGACATGCTCACACTGTACTAAATGGTATGAGAGTACTTGAACCACACAGAGAGCACTTCCACAGGCCTCTGCTAATAATCTGCCCTGAGAGGTGCTGGTCAGAAGGTTTTCACACCCCTTATTTGCTCATTTATGGCATTGTCTATGCCACAGGCGGTATCGCTGTAAAGAAAAATATGGGTAGTCACGGACTGAGTCTCCCAGGGTCTGTAGAACAAAAGATAGGACTCACTAGTATGCAGTTTAGCCCCTTAAGGACACATGACGTGTGTGACATGTCATGATTCCATTTTATTCTAGAAGTTTGGTCCTTAAGGGGTTAAAGGCAAAATTCATTGATGGGGATACAATGTTTTATCTCAAAAAGAGCCTGTATTAGACAGCATCTCTGACACCCTCCCCCCAGGCCATTACACCTCTTTGTCCTGGTGTCATATTTTCCAACATTGTGAGATATGGTACTAGAGTATTAACATGTGGTCAATATAAGAATATTATTATTAGAAATTTCACACAAAACTAACTGGAAACCATTTAGGAAAAGAGTGTAGAATGCACTAGTAAAATAAAGCAAGGGTTCCTTTTTTTTTGCAAATTGTTGCATGTACGTAATACAGTAAGATACGTATAGAAACAAAGTGTGCACCCAATGAAATTTTATGGTTTTTGTAAAGCTATAATTAACCAGTTAGCCAGTTATTTCTTCTGGCGGTGAGCAAAACCTGTAATCACAATGGGAAAATATCCATGCCAGCTAAGCTAAGATAAGATCAAAAGTCAGCTTGAGACATTAAATAAAATGGATGTTTTTACCAACTTCTGAGTGTTACTCATTTTAATTTACAGCTTTCTGTGCCACTTAGTAAATAGAGCTGATACAAATAAATAGAATTAAGGCAGAACTTTTTTTTAACAATCGCTTCATAAACAGAATATGGTGTCAACATTTACAACAGGGTGCCTTTAATATCTCCTTACATATGCTGTATTCGTCCGGGTACGCCTCATATCAAAACATGTACTTGAAATATCTAAAACAAACCTAAGTATAAACATAATAATACAAGCAAGATCATGTTCACTGGTGTGATTTGCATTCCGATATATGCAGGTGATAAATAGCATGAATACATTTGATCTTCCGTTTATATCCTGTTTTTATATCATCTTTGGTTTTTGTGCAATGTGTTATTTGACTGATATTGGCATGGAAGCCAAAAGGGAGAGTCGCAAGGCGCAACTGCCACAGGCTGTTGTACTTGTGGAAAAAATAAATAATCTTTCTTGTTTTAACTGATAAGGAAGTTATAGTCTCTTCTTATGAAGAATGCTTCCAGAAATGCAGATAAACAGGACTCAAATGTATTTTTGAAGATAAATGCGAGAAGAATTAAAGTGCGTTTTGGCGATGATGAGTTGTTCTTGTTATACTAATGCATGAAATGAGAAAAAATACATATTTATAAATATATTGTACCCTAATGTCCTTATAGATGCTACCCATACTTCAAAGGGTTAATGGTGCAATGAGTACAGTATTAGCCATGACTATATTCGTACATGGGTATATTAGATTTGCTGAAGTTGTAAGTTGTAAACCACTTTTTTTGTGTTAGTTTTTTGCCTTTGTTTTGTATCATTTTTTTTAATTAAAAAAAAAATTCCACCATCAACAAAAATGTATTAACTGAAAATATAAATATCTTTTCTGATAATGCTATAGTATGGATGTTGCGTTCAACTCTTTATAATGTATTCTTATATGGGACCAAATCAATTTTGAATTTGATTTTACTTTTCCCATTTTTAGGTTACCTCAGTTATTTGAATACAGAAAATGGCTTAAAGCATGCTCAATTCTTTTTTTACAATCTCACTGTGTATAATGCTGTAGACCTGTTTAATACACATGTACATAATTTTGGGAATCTGCAATATGTGTATACACATGTATATTGCGTATGTCTTAAATACATTATTACACCGCAAGTTGATGTGGTGCATACATACATTGAGCATTACTGTAAGATTGTGTAATACTGAAGATTTTGGAGACACAATATTGATGCACATAGTTTAACTGATTTAAACCTTTGTCCACTAGGAGGATCCCTTGTTGAGGTCTCTACTACCACAATAATGCATTTTTATTAGTGATAGGTTGCTTTGATTTGGCTTGTTTACCCATAGTTCCTGCTCTCCGGGTCCCGACTTAGCTTGGTTTTACCGATTGTCTTTTATGCTGCCTGACCTCAGCTAGTCTCTGACTATTCAGCTTGTCTCATGCTTCGTGTATTTCACACCTCTAGGATATTCATGTTAAGCCAGATGACTCTATGGATCACTAATATGTATCCGTCCTTTTCAGTTTTGACCTATTTATTGTACGCGAGGTTTAGGTATTTCCTGACTGCACAATTCTCGTACAGGCTACACATTTTGATGGGTCAGACATTAACCCATTGCACCCTTGTTCATCCCATGGCTTATTTTTCACAGTTCTACATTTAAAATGACTTTCTGTATATGTTCCTGTCAATCAAAAAATAGAGAAATCCCTGCTAAGCATTTCTATCTTTTCTTAAGAAAAATTAATAGTCCCATATAAAAAGTTGGAATTTGTAAAACAATTTACATCTTAGGGACCTAAAATCACTTTTCCCCCCCAAAAAACCAACCTATTTTCAGGTTCATTATATCTGTACTCCCTCTTCTTTCGGCACTTCTGGGCACTCCCTTATCAGACACTGCGCCATTGCTTACATCACCATTGTATTGTCACACATTTTCTGTTAGTCAGTTTTTTAAAGCATACCATTGCTAACTAAGGTCACGATTTTAATATTTTTGGATACGTCTCCAAAATGATGTAATGATGTAAAAATAAATTTATATATAAATATATTTATATTTTTTGTTTTTCTTTTATTTGTATTTTGAATAATTTATTTGAAAAGTTAATCCAAAATGTATTAAATCATCATCATCTTATACAAATATATTAAATTGAGGTCCCACATTTGAACGGATTATAAGAAAATGAACTTCTCATTATCTTGGCGGTGGAGTGAGGAGTGAGAAAGAACCACATTTCTTTTCTTTCAACTTGCTCCGTAAAGGTTTTACAAAAGCTTGAGAGACTGTACCCCTTGTACAGTGTACCACAACCACTACAATAAGCTAATGGTTATGGTGCTTATTGTTGATTCAAACAACTGCACTTTTAATTTAGCTTGGTGATATGTTTATACTGTACATACCTTTTATATGAATTGGTGTTAGGACTATGGTTTATATATTCAAGGATGAAACTGGCACATACATTGGGAGGAGTTACACTCTTGGCCAGTGATTGCTGTTCTCTTGGCAAATCCTTTTCAGGAGAGTTAGCTAGAAGGTGCTATCTGGGAGTCCATCTCTCTTTTATTGTGGATAGACCCAAACTGGTATCTCCTAGTGCATGGTTAGCAAACTTAGGCACTCCACATGTTGTAGACTACATCTCCCATGATGCTTCGCCAGCGTAATGGCTGTAAGAGTATTGTGGGAGATGTCGTTCACAACATCTGGAATTACTAAGGTTGCTTACCCGTGTCCTAGTGCATCCCCGAAAATAGAGACTCACTAGTTTTAGTTACACCATACATTACATTTTTTGACGTACAATGTGTCAACTCCACTATGCAGTACTATAATGGGAAACATTCAAATAAGGAGCAGATCATGTAGCATACATTATGTATGTGTATGAAAATGTGTTTATCTATGCTTACCTATCTAAGATAAAGTTTATTTATACCTTAATATGTTCTCAAAGATAAAATCTATTCCTGTGCAATATACTGCATAATGCCCATCAAAGCTTTCAAAACAAACATTTTAAGGAAACGGATCTCTCTTTATCAAGTGACATGTTAATACAACAAAAATTTCAGTACTCACATAGTTTTATATTGAGTCACTATTTTAAACATTACAATACCAAGACCTAGAGGAAAAAAAAAAAAACCTAAAGTTAAAAAATCTAGGGAGATGAAATAGGGGGGGTAATAATAAGATGCTTAACAACTCTATTTCAAGTATATAACCTTCTAGTTTAAATGGACACTGTAGGCACTGTAACTGCTTCATTGAAGTTGTTATAGTGTCTGGCACCATCCTTCCATTCAGCGGTAAACGTTTCTTCATGTTTTAATGCTAAACAAGAGTCATCGTTAACACCTTCAGTAGAGGCTGGACTTTGGCTGGCCAAGGACACTTCTTTAGTATTTAACTGCTTTAAAAAGGGGCTTAACACTAAATGGAGGGACAGTTGCACAAGACACTAGCCATTATAACTTATTAACTGTGATGAAATGGTTGTAGTGTCTACAATTTCCCTTTAATAGATGCACATTAAGCTCCATGCAGGTAAACTCTGTCTGCCTGTGGATCCCCCATCTTTTGATAAAAGTATCGGTACCCAGTTTCAGGTTAAGAGTTCATCCATCATGCAAGGGTATCTGATTTTATAGATCAACATGTGGGGTGAAGGAACAATGTGTCTCAATCTTTCCATCCATGCTGATCTCACAGTTAAAGTGACTTTACTAACAAGCTTATTGCCATGTGGGGTAAGGGTGTGCTTCAGCACAGAGAGGAGTTTAAGCCAAAGGTAAAGGTCCATCAGCTTGTGTTCGGCAAGTTTATTTCAGAAAACACATTTTTAATCCTAACCCGGCTTGCCTGCACTTGGGATACACCCACCATTTGAGTTAAAAGGTGCCCTACCTTCCCAAGGTATATCTAACATTGATCAGTTGGAATAAAGCCCATTTAATAAAGTTGAGCCCTGTATTTTTAAAGTTACATTTCACCTCATTTGAATATTTATGGATCTAATAAAATGTCTGATTCTGAGGTAATAAAATGCAATATATGCAATGACTGTTCATTATTTCATATTTTTACCAAAAGCCGAGTGTAGAAATAAACTCCTTAAGCAATGTTTTTAATCTAAGTCCATTTTTCTATAATGAAAATGTATTAATATATGAACTGTTCAGTGTAAAGCATATAGCAACATATTTCTTGAAAGAAATGAATATTAATCAAACAGGATAGGCAAACTAACATTTGCACACTGACATTTTCTTTCTTTGTGTAATTTTTATACAGGTATATTATATGGTACTGCGTCAGTCAGTACAACGAGGCCAAGATGTCTTCCTATTCCATCAAACCAAAGACTATAAAACAACATGGGGATAGAGGTCTACAGTGTCCAGCTGGTGAGACATCAACAGCTGTGGTAAACATGACAGAACAAGAAAACCAAAATCGAGTCCTACAAAGTAACACTAATTATATGAAGCTTTCTGTATGATTCAAGGCAAAAGCCATGCTCGGGAAATACCGGGGGCAGAGTTAAAAACAGATTGACTCTTAGTGACTCATTTAGCTCCTGGACAGGACATTATTTTTCCCTGCTGGCAATTTGGCTTAGCATTACCAGGGCGCACAGGAGGCTCAGTAGCTTAAAATAATTATATGGAGAAATCCCCAACACTGCTTACCATCCAGTTTTTTTTTTCTTTTGTGTGGATATGTGCTGAACAAATTGCATTTTCCATTATTAAAAATTAAATCATTGGATTTATCTCCATTTTAAGCATGGAAACTGGACACCATTCAAATTTTCTGTAGCTAATAGCCTGCTAGCTGTGTAAAGCCTGAATGGGTGTCCGTACAGTATCTGTGCGCTTGTCCTAGTTTAGCAAAAATAAAGCACTTTAGCATATTGTTAAAGCTTAATTTCAATGAACGTTATCACAAAAATGCAACAGTTTTACAAGGAATGTATCTAGTAAACAATGGTTTGTGAGTTGATGGTTGGTTTGCAAACACGATGAGGTCGAAAGCTGCAAGTGCTGAAACTTCACAAAGGATTTCTCTTAACTCTGTTATATCGACCTAAATTTCACAAAACCATTGTAAAGTTACTGTAAATCTCTGTTTAGTGATTATTTTTATTGCAAATGAAAAGTGACAGGATTATTCACAAAAGTGTGAATTCTATGTGATTCAAAGTGAATTTCAGGTTTAGGTTAAAGAAGCTTCTGACCTGAAAACAGTTGATTTTGAGAATTTTACAGGTTGCCTACTTTTCAATAGATCACAATTTAGTGAATAACCCTGTTAACGTTTCACATTCATATTCTTAGAAAGATGTGATGGGGGAAAAAAAGCTCAACTCAAAATGGGAACTGGAGTCATTTAGATATTGATCAATCTGATATATGTGGAGAATTACAAAGAGAGATGGGAATTATAAGACTAAATAGGAGAGCTTGCAAACCCACTGATTTGTAGAATGTGGGCATCGTTTTTGGCCATAATTTGCAATATCCTTGCCGACTCTCAACAAATTTCCAGTGTAACGGAAAACCTCAGATTGTTTTAAATGTTTAATATTACAGAATCATTATTAATATATGTTTATAGTATGTATTGACATAATCTGCTTTAAACACATTTAATATAGATTATGAACTATATATTTCAGTGCAATAAACAGTGTATATATTCTGTGGTAAATAGTTATGCATGATTCCTAATTCAAGTCATTTAATTTAAGAAAATATTAAAACAAAACTTTTTTAAGAAACACTGCTAGTGGTTTAAAATGGCAATTATCTGAGATGGCATATTTTTGCATTTATTCTTTACATATTTAATTGAAATTCATCACAGCCAAATATTTTATAAGCCTTTTTAAAAAGGGACTCAATTTAATTAGTAATTTCTGTCAGTCTGCTAAAAGTTTACCGATGGCATGGAAATTGGTATCTGTTTCTGAATGTTTATTAATGGCAATTAAAATATTTGCATTAAAAGTCATTTATTACCCATGCCAAAAGGTAGGAAAAACTTATGTTTTTTTTTTTTAAATTTATTAATTATTTTAAATTATTAAATGTAATAACGTGTAACAAGCACTTTTGTATTTTTTTATCCTCTGTTCATGTATTGATTTAATAAATATATGTGTACGTTATCATATTTAATGTCCTTCATCAGTCTTGGGATGTATTTTTTTTTCATGCATAGGTTGGTTACTTATAATTAATCCTATTTTCATTCACTTTTCTCATTATTCTATTTAAAAATTTTCTTGAAATGCTTATTAAAGGACACTCTACTGCCCCAGTAAAGTGACACTAATAAAAATCACAATTTACTATATATACCCCCAAGTGAAACATTCACACATTTATTATGCATTTTGTTTCATTGTGGATATACGTAAAAACAAGCAAGCCCTTCCTTTCTTCCCCAGGCCAGACAATGACTGTCCAATCACAGACTTCCCAATGCAACTCAATGAAAGTCTTTGCAAGGCAGGTGCTTTGGGCAAATTTTGCTTCTTGAGTTTAGCTCCACTGAGCTAATTAAATCAGGAAGTAGCAGGACCAGTTGTTTGACTGACAGCCAGGGAGGTGTACCCAGGTTCTTTTATAAAAGTGTAATTTCTATTAAAATCTGCACTTTTTGTAAAATAACAAAAAGAAGGGACATACTCTTCACACATAAAGCACTTCATCAAGCTAAAGTTCTTTAGGGGTCTGGAGTGTTCCCTTAACTAAACACAACATTGCAAAAGGCTAAAACATCCATGGTTTCATAGCAGATAATGGATATTTTTTTCAAATCTGCACTAGTCTATAAAAATCTCAAAATTCACATATTACTAGTATGCTGAACAAGTAAATTTTAGCAGGAATCTAGCCTTCCTTTATTCCTTTATGTACAACCAGTTACAGTTTGTTCATCCCCCATTGCACAGTCCTTCAGACTATGCTGGTACTTTATAAATAATAATTGTATTCAAAATACTCATGGGGACCTTGCATTAAATCGTATGGCAGCTTGCTTTGCACCAGTCGCAGAATGATATTCCTTCGCTAGATCAAATGACCTGAACATGGCCTTGCACACCAACTGAACATGTTTTTCAATAATGACTTTGAAAATAGTCACCCAAAGCAACGTTCTTCCCCGACTAGTAAAATGTTTAAAGGAAATAGTGATGCTTTTTAATAAAGTTACTTTTTATTGCCTGCTCCCCCTGTATAAAAGAAATGCTCAGCGTATTTTCTCCTTGTTTTTTTTCTACATTTATTGTATAACCTCCAGGGCGAATTACCAGGAACACTTGGTTTTACCCTGCGTGACAGCATTAAAATCAAGGGGAAGAGGAATAAGAGGTATTAAATGCTTACAACCAATTCAGTTGGTTAAACAAATGCATGGTGTGAGAAAATGACTTCCTAGAGTCTGTCAGACAAATCAGTTCTACCGAGAAATATTGTGTCCTACATTTTACTTTTTGCGTCTGATTTTTTTTTTTTTTGGTAATGTAAAATTCCTGAATGTTAAGATGCAACTGACCTTGAATTAATTTGTTGAGACCATATACCAGGTTTGTTGACCTCATCATTTTGTATTGTGTGAAGAAATTTTTTTTTTTTTAAATATATTTATTTCCCACTATTTGTGTATATGCATCAATTTGTATTTACATTTTTAAATATAGCATTCAGGAAATTGTACCTATTACTTTTCCATATGTGCTATATTCAGCGAGTGTGCAACTAAGAAAGGGAGGGTAGGGATGGCGTACATTGCCTGTGACACAGTTAGTGTCATTCTTGATGTACCCATCCAATATGACACATTGGTTTACAGGGTAGCCAATCAGGATTGTCCATATGCTAAGTGTGGCAGAGCTCCCTGTACCCCGGCTGGGTGCCTCCGCCACAGACTGCTTACTGGGGCCGGATAGGGGACTATCTCTATCCACTCACAGGGACTGGATGACACAGAGCCCTGGGAGGTCTTAGTCCTTACAAAGACTTTCCCCGCTGCCTCCTCCACGAGCTGGAGCAAGCTGGCACAGTGATTAGCCTGTCCCCCCTCCCCCAAGTAACTGGATGACACACAGCTCTCGGAGTCTAACTGAAATGCTTTATTGGTACAGCCAATTTATACACAGACCCCCATAAGGGGTCTCCATTCTATTCAGCACAAGTCCCTTAGTCTCAGGCTGGGGTGGGATGGTTTACAGTTATGAGAAATAACAACAGTACAACAATTACATACAGTAAGACACATCACATACATTAGGGAAAACTTAGGGGGCTCCATGCCCTGGGAAGGAAATGGGGCACACGCATAAAACATACATCCTAGCTAGGACCCCTGCAAATAGCGGGGCTATTGGATGAACAGAGCCCGAGAAATCATTGTATAAAGTCTGGGCTTGAGGCGCTGTACATTCCTGCAATTAGTTCCACAGAATTGCTTGGTTTAGGCCAGTAAATTCAAATCTTTGCGCCTAATCCAAGCAGCGACCAATCAGTGCTCGGGGGAGGGGGGGAGAGGCGTTCCGAGCACAACACTTTAACTCGCGCCGGCCTATCAGGAGAAAAGGCGCGAGCCAAGTTGGAATAGTAGCTCCTCCTCCTATTAGTCACCTCAACCCCACAGCGACCAATCAGCGCTTGCGCCGGCTATCAGGAGAAATGGCGCAAACTCAGTTTGAATATGAGCTCCTTCTCCTATTGGCCCAGACTCGTGTTCCATCACACTAAGTGTTACTGAAGTGCATGCAATTGGGCACAAATGCCCTAAAATTCATCCTACGTTTAGTGCATAAGTGTTTGTGTGCTTCGCTGAACACCAATTTTTGGGGTATGTTATAATGCTGTTTGCAACAATTGTCTAAAACCATGTGACCACTGTCTGCAAGTCAGCGACTACTTATATGGAACAATTTCTGTGCAGTATTTTGGTTTAGAAAAGCAAAGTATTGTGCCATTAAAAAAAAACACTGATACCTTGTAAAATGTTTTTACCATAAAAGTGGGGAAAAAACCACAAATATTTTGTGTTTAAAACTAGAAAAATGAAAAGACAAATTGTGTTTTTCTTAATATGCTAAAGCAATCAGCAAATCTCATTCCTTGGTCAAACAGCACATTTAAGTCACAAAAACGTTAATTGACTATTGTTTATATTTCAAATTGTAGATTATCATCTAACAGTGTATAAGCAGTAAGAAGATTTTTTTAAAGTCAAACCTGACTTTTCATATAAACCAGGACAAGCCGTCAGCCACTCTCCAGCTGTCATTTAGTTGCAACAATGATCCTGAGCAAACCATAGACATGTAAAAGAACCCATGATATTCTAAAGATGTACAAAAAAACGTTTTGTATATATTTGTAATATTCTGCTACACATTAACATAGCAGAGTAAGAAATGTATGTCCTTAAGAATTCACGTTCATATACTGACTAAATGGCTCTTTCCAAAAGGGAATG